TCGTCAAGATAAATCAGCTAAACTTTCTTTCCTATGACAAGTGAACGTAGAAAACATGAACGTTCTCTATCTCTTTCACTTCATTCGTTATAACACATTTTCATACATTAGAAATAAATTAGAAATAGTTATGAATAATAAAACATTAGAGCTCTAAAAGAATGATGTTAAATCATTTCAAAGAAGCAACTTTCGGTATACATTATGATAATATTTTCATGTAAATAGGCATCCGAACGCGAAGTTCTATTAGTAATGCGTCTGGGAATATTTCTTGTTGGAGCTGGCGCTGCTGGTATTGGTATTCTTGTCTCTTCGATCTATGTTCTGTGGTATTTATGTTCGGATCTTGTTTATGTCATACTTTTTCCACAATTACTTTGTGTTGTTTATGTTCCGCATACAAATACATATGGTTCATTGTCTGCCTACATTATCGGTTTTGTCTTTCGTATACTTATTGGTGAACCCTCATTAAGTATTCCGCCATTGATTCATTTCGGTCCATATGTTCCACCAAAAACGTTATGTATGCTTATTAGTTTAACCACAACATTAATTGTTTCACTAATAGCAAAAATGTTTTTTGAAAAACGTATCTTACCACCACAATTGGATATTCTCCATTGTCTTGTTAATATACCAAATGAAGTTTTACCATTAAAAGAAAGTACAACAACTGATGAATTACAACAACAATATCGTATTGTTAAACCAAATTTAACAACAATAGGACAACAATATCTTACTGAACCAACGATGATGATCAATAGTTCATATTCACCAAGTCAAGATACATTAAATACTTATGCAAATTCATGAACATATCAAAATAAATAAATACGTGTATGTATGAATATAGTTTTAACCCTTCCGGTGAATGTTGTTCTTGTTGTTTTTCCTTGCATACCTATACATATCATTGATTTGATCATATTTTATTTGAATTATTTGTCATGGTAAACGAAAAACAAACGTTGTGGAGGTGCTTTATATTTTTATGTTGTTTTCTTTTTTCTTCTTTTCTTTTTTTTTTGTCAGTAGTCAGATTAATCAAAATCAAGAACATACATATCATACAATAATCAATTTTTTTATCGATCTACTTATCGCCTTGTGATCAAAAAAAAACAAGAGAAAACATATCAATTTGCCTTCCACATAAGAATAATTCATAATTCGTAGAATATAAAATACCAATCATTATTATTACTGTTGTTGTTATTGTTGATGTTGTTTGGTGTTGTATCTTTTAGTATGAACAAAATAAAAATATTTCGTTGTTCTCACCTTGCAATCAAATCTGTTTACTGATCGCATTTTCATATGTTACAAAAATAGATCATTTTTTTTATCATCAGTTTAAATACAAATACATATATATATTGATTCGATGTTTAAGCATCTAAACCAAGTGTTGTTGTTGAATCAATATTAGGCATTGGACCATCATGATGATTTAGCATCCAGTCATAGATTTTATATGATAGTCGTAAGCCATCTTTGGAACCTTGCCGATCGAGTAAAGTTTTAAGTAATGATTGTTTTGGCTCATCAATATATTTTGCTATCCATCTACAAGAAAACATATATTAGATATAGTGTATAAATTTGATTAAACAAAACTATTCACCTTAATACTTCTGTTTCAGATCGACCAAAATCACTTTTATACCACAGAAATAATTTTGATAAACGAACTTCAGCATTTTCAAGTATAATATCAACTTCAGCATTGCAAAAAGATGTTGTTGCCATATTTAAAGCTTTTTCAAGATTTGTTGATGAATATATTGCAATTTGCGGACATGAACGTGCACCACAATTAAGTGCAAAATGAATACGTGGGTCACAACGACGCATTGAATACCGCACACGAGGATCATTGAATGTAAAATGCCGTTGAGTACAATTTGAGTGAGGTTTATTACCTGAGAGAAATAGTTAAACTCACAGAAAAAAAGTCAAATCAATCAAACCTCGTAAAATGCCATGTTCTATGTCATCTAAGGAATAAAAATATGATCCAACTTTATATGATGTTGTCTTCCAAAATTGATTTAAATCGAGAACCGATTTAGGTAAATCATTTAACGAAGCTAATCCATGAATTGTCAATATATTATAAAGATCTTAAATGAAGAAATTTTATTATTGTTTTTTTTCTTTAAGTATAATTATTGTATATAATCCTTACTAATGAAAAATGTTTTACGTTCATTTTCTGTGACATTTTCAAGGCTAATTGTTGTCAAACGATTGCCCATTTCACATAAATCATTATAGACATTACTTGCACGCAAACGACAATAGTTAACTAAACGACCGGATGGATCAATAAACGTCGCTTTTAAACTAACATTACAAAAAAGAAAACAACAAACGTATTAAAGAGAATTTTTTTAAATGTTTTTACTTTAACATTTTCTTTTGTAATTCAATTGAAATTTGTACCGCATTATAACCATTCTTAGATTTTGGTTCATTTTCATCATTACCTAGTATTGTTGATGATGGTGTTTTTTCTGTCGCTAAATGTTCTAATGGTGGCCAATTAAGTATATTGAGTAAACGAGAATTTTCGATTTCATCACTTTTAACAATAATATTATTATTACTATTATTATTATTATTATTATTGTTTTCGGATGTTAATGAAGGTTGTATTCCATTAATTACTTTGACTCGATCTATGATGAAGTGTAAGAAAACAGGGATGACATTAACAAGAAAAATAAATTTATCGTATTTTTATTCCCAAAGTGTATATTTCTGTTTGTTGTTTTCATATGTTGATGTCCATCTGGTAAAATTCACATTTGTATAATGTGATATGATAGAAACGTTTTAATCATCAATATGGTTCTTTTTGACAAGATTAGAGAATTGCTACTATTACGCTTGGCACTGATCGAATAAACATGAAATAATTATCGTAATAGAATGCGAAAAAGAAAATAGGATCAAAAATAGAGTCTTGCACCGAGTGATGTCTTTTTTTAGTTGATCTTCATTCAAACAGTAGACAAAAACACCTTCTTGATTAATTTCCGTTACATTTGCGTGTTTGTTCTAATATGGCAAAGACAGATGTGTCGTACTGATGATACAATATGTGTAGACGCATGATATGAATAATTATGTTTCACAGCTCTTCCTTTTTCTCTTTTGCTTTCATAGTGCATGTATTTTACATTAACAGAAAAAAGAATTCCTTTCATCTAATTATTCAACACGGTGATGCATCAGAAGGTGGTAGATGAATACTTGAGGAGAAAATGAGTGATGATGATGATGATGATGATGACGTTTGCATTTGTAAGCTTGAATCGCCATTCATATGACAAAGATCTCTATTGTTTCATTTATGTAATAACAAAAGAAAAGGTAAAAAGAAAAAAACCTTTTGTGAATGTTTCACAATGAATAATAAACGAACCTATATATATATATATGTATTGATTCATTAGTATGTTATATTTTTATTATCGATTTTTTCTATTGATGTCGGAACACATATGAAATAATGGTGACTGATTGATCAACAAACGACCTTTTCTATAGAATCTCACATGCGAACAAAACAACGGAAAATTCACATATAAAGAAAAATTCTATGTTGAAATAAATCAAAAAGAGGAAAAATCGCAATCAAGCATTTGACAGATCATTCATTCTCCAATACGAGGCGTTTGACTGGTTTTTCGAAAGACAAATGCATGTTTATATATATTTATATATATATACATACAAGTATTCATTGAGGAAGTCATTATTTTACTGTACACGTTTACAATAAGGCCGGAACTATTATTGTTTCCTGACAGGCAATATAGACAATATAAAGGCAAGAGAAACAATATCAATATGTCGCATATGGACACATAGATTCTTCATATAACATTAATATAGAGAAGCAATAAAATGTTAGTTGTAAAATTGATCTAAGATGATAATCGAGTGAATATAACTCGCTTGGCTTATTATGTTAGATAAAACGAAGCAAAACAAACAAAACAAGAGAAATAATCTTTTATGCAGTATTCTGCGAATAAATATATTTAATGCTTGTATACGGGACTTATCAGAAACAACGATTATATACTTGAAATAATAAGAAAAATAATAAGAATAATCAACTGATTCAGTTGACGAAGATCATGTTTCGCTATTTATAGTATTGCTTGTCATGATGAATTTTTCTCAGCAATATTCTTAGATCAATCAAATTGTACTTACAAAAAGGTCTTGAACTGTTCGATCGACTATACCGAGACATGATTTGAAATAATTTGTTTCTATATTGATTCAATTTTCGTGGTGTTATTGTTGTTGTTGTTATCAATAGGTGAGCATCAATATGTTGTATAGAAATGTCAATTGGTCTGAGTGTGCTCCACTCACTCAAAACCGTTTAAACGGTACCCGAGTATTGCGTAGAAAGAGAGAAAGAACTTCTCTCTCGCTCTCTTTCTTCTAGAGAGAAAATCCAATGACAGTATTTCTTCTTGTTCTTTTTTTCTATGTCTGTCTCTCGCTCTTTTTCTTGTGCTTTATGATGCTGATCATCATCACCTTTTCTTCTTTGCCTTTTGCTTCACTATTCTTGACTGCAACGAATAATGTTTCTCTGAGTATGCCGATAGATGATAGATAGACAGAAAAATGAGTACACTATACAATCGAATAAGTTCTAAGATGGAAGTATATAGAAGAACGGAGAGAAGAGAACTACACATTGATCAGAGATCTGGTGTGAAAGAAAAACGAAGAGCCGAAATGAATGTCAATCAAATCAATTTCAGTTCTATATTATTTATTGTCTCAACTCATCATCAGTAGCATCATTAATATGTGTATTATTATTATTTTTATTATTATAACAAATAAATTTACACGTAAATAAGAATAATAGTTTAAAGATAAGATAATAAAATCCATTTTAAAAGTTTTATATGAGTTCACCGGTGAACACATGTTAAAGTCACATGATGTTAGTATTACACAGGTAATGGAGTTTGTCGTTCAGGAAAATCAATTACAACATCCATATCAGGTGTACAACTAAAATTTAAAAACGAAAAAGATAAGAGAAAGATTATTTAAAATAAGCAAATAATATTTTGGAATAATTAATATGATTATCATCGATGTTAGAGAGAGAAATAGATATCTTATCAATAGTTATTTATTTCAGTTAGTTTTGTAATAATAAACTTCTTCTCGAAAAATTATCAAAGGGATAGAACCTTAATTTTCTTTTCAATAATTAATAATTAAATATCTTAGTTTCAAAGGAAACAAAATTTCAATGCCAGAAGAATAATTTCTCTCTCTGTTTAATAAAACAGAAGTTTCAGACATTGTATTCTATTCATAAAAATAATGCTTATTCCGAAAAGAGAAAAGTCTGGTTTTTCATTGATCTGAGAAAACAGATGCAATCTAAGAATTTGCAACATACATTGGCATTGAATCTTGTCGAAAAACATGTGGAAATAAAGTACGAGAATCGAATGCTCGACTTTTTTCACGTTTTAATTTTGCATTTAGTTTTCGCATGTGTTCACATTCTATTTCTAATAAACGAAGTTTTTCTTCTTGAATAGCAATTTCCTAAAAGAAATCTATTAATAATAATTTTAAAAAATAACTTGATTTCTACTTCTTTCATTCGATCATTGTCGAGTGCAACAAGTAAATAAGACATATGCATATCGGAAAAAGCTGCCTACATAAATAGAACAAAAGAAAAATTTAATTGATATCACTTTCTGATTTATAAACCGTTGCTTGTTCTTCTTTTAATTGTGCTACAGTTAGACGAAGATTTTCTAAATGTTGTTCTTGTTGCTTTTCAAGGATACGATTTAATTCATCAACTTCTTCCTATTATAAAAAAGAAAATCGATTCTTTTGCTTCCGTTTTTGAAAATAAAACCTTCACATACTGAACTAAAAAGTTTTGTTTCATCGATTTCTTGAAGTAATTTTTGCAGTGTTTGTTCTTTTTCAGGATACTCACTATCCTAAAACAATCAAGAAGAAACAAATTAATTTATTCATGTAATTCTTTTACTTTATATGTTTTTAATTGTTTAAGAAATTGTTGACAATCACCTAATTGATTTTCAAGAGATAAAATTTGATTCTCATACACTAATGGTAGAAAAAAAGAACAAATATATTTGAAATAATTTATTTTTAACGAAATGTTTTTTTTTTACTTTCAACTTCATTAGCAAGTGTCTGTCGTTCTTGATCAATAGTATCAAGTAATTCTTGTTTTTCTTCGTTTTGTTTCGTTTCAACAAGTGAAATAGTTTTCTACAAAGAAAAAAAATGTTTTCTTTTTTTTTATTGAAATAGGAAACACTTTTTTCTTAAATACTTGATATTGATCAAACCGACGTAAATTAACTGCCACTGTATCGTGAGCTGAATGTTCTACATTAGAAATAGTTTCACGTAATTTAGCATTATTCACTTTTAAATCATTTTCACGTTGAATAAATGATTGTATACGTGTACGATACACTACAAATATAGATCATTTTTTTTTGATTTTTTTTCTGTATATAGTTACTATGCAATTGTAATGTTAACCATTGAATTTTGGCTGGATTCTCAGGTGCAAAACGTTCAGGCGTGGACTCTTTTCGTAAATGTCGACATCGTCCTGAGCATTTTCTTTCATCGTGTAAAGCTAAACATAAAAAATATCGCTTGTTTTTATTGCGCAAATAGATGAAAAACTTACGAGGAAGACCTGCAGCAGCTGTAGTTGTTGTTGTTGTTCCAGCTGATTTAGGTGGTCGTCGTTGTCTCATCCATGGTGAATAATCAATAACTGCAGTTGATATTTGACTATGGAATGAATGTAGAGCTGAACCACCAGATGGTTGTCTACTTAATGTACTTGAATACATCTGAAAACGAAAGAAAAAGTTCACATTTATTTATGTAGTTTGTATCAGACATTAGATAAATTAAGAAAACATTCAACAAAGGCACCGAACGATATTCATTTTATAAAGTAATCACACTTCAGTATTGGACAATCACTACGTATATCCATTGGTGAATAATCATAGTAAAGTGTATAGGTCGGAAATGATTGTTTATGTGTACCATCCCTGTAGGCACCTGTCAATCGACATTCTTCAAGTGAACGCATTGGATCAAGAAGACCATGACGTGAACGAACTTTTTCACGAAATATGCTAATTGATCGTGTTGCAAGATCTGTTTCATCAATCACCATTTTGGATAGAGCATAAATACTCATATGATCAGGTACAGTAAGACGAATATGACCCGGATAAGCATGGTATGAATCAAATGTGATAAGACGAAGATGAAGTGTAACATATCTATATATGAATATTAAAAATAATTAAGTTAATTAAATATCAGTGATATTACTTGGGATGACTCAATTGTAAAGGTTCATTAAATGGCCGTTTCAATTCTTTTGGTAGTTTCTTTTCAAGAACAATTTCTTTTGATGGTGGAACAGTCAACGGTACTATGTGTCGTAAAATACCAGTACTAAATTCTTCATCTAAGATAGCTCGATAATCAATGAAACCTTCATTTTCAAATAGTTTCATTAAAATAAACAAGTCTTCACGTGATATTATAGGTAAACGATCTTTGATAACTATGATCATAAATAAAATTAAAACGAATAAATTTGATTAGAAAATGATTTAATTTTAGTTTTTTTTTACCAAGTCGAAATTGTTCATATGACAAACGACCTGAATCAAGTTTGTCTAATAGTTGACAAACACCAAGTAAAAGTTTTTTGTGATTTGTTAATAATGAATTGATACGTTCACAAGCAACATTCAATTTTTCAGGTGAAGCAAAGATATTTTTAGTTGCTTTTGTCAAACGTTCCTATACAAACAATGTCAATTGATACAAATCTTGATCAGACAAAATCAATATTTACAAGTTCTTTTTCACGACCAGCTTTGCCTTTCTTTTTTTTCTTCTTTTTCTTGTCTTCTATTTCATCAGCTTGTCCCTGTAAAAGAGACTGAACTAATGATGTTGTTGTCTGTTGTTCAGTTTTTGTTGCTTCATCAGCTGATACTGGGTGAGGTGCTGCAGAAGTAAATTCATTAATTTTGGTTTGTCGTTGTTCTTCAGCAGTGTCTTCCATTTTACAATGAAAAAGAAAAGAACAGAAAAAGCAATGATTGTCGACATTTCCATTCACCGTCAACTCACCATGGTATCGCACAACGCTATTTGCATGCTGTATCGATTTCAACGATGTAGAGCGCGCTGTTATTTGAGCTTTTTTAATAATTAAATTGAAACAGACTAGTGAAAAAGAATTAAAAAAAACATACAATATACTCATTAAAATTATTCATTCAGTTCTTCGTGTTTATCTATATTTATTAGGAAACTATCGATGAATGAGATAGAGAACGGCTGAACAGAAATAAATTAATTAGGATTTTAACAGTATCAGTAATATAATATTGATGATGGTTAATTCCCTGTAGACATCTGATTTTTTTAACAGGATATAAAAATTTAAAGGTCTTTAAAATCCATATTATTCAGGTTAAATAATAACTTTTAAGATGGTATCTTTTTGGTTCTACTGTAATAAAACCAATCAGTATTTTGATTTAGACGATAAAAAAGTATTCTCTTATGCGACATAAGTGTCAGTTAACATAAATAACGATTTCCGATTGACAATGTATAGGCACGATTTTTTTTTGTCTGGTAATCGTAGATTTCATAACTTCAAATACACGACCTCTGTTTTTCTCGCGATAGAGTATTGCGTATCTTGGATTCTGTTTTGAGATAAACTGTTATTTGATTTTGTTCTTAATTGATTTTATCTTTTGGAACTATTGATGTGCGATGTTTGTTCTGATTAAATATGCGTAAAACACACTTTTTCTCGTTGAGTATTTAAGTAATATTAATTGGCCATTATTCATTGAAGAAAGAAACGAATCGGCATGCAATACTTAATGATGGTTTGATTGGTACTTGGTTTCTTAGCTCGGAAGATTGAGAGATAGCATTGCATGAGAAAGTCTTCAAAATTGCCATCATTGATATTCATGTCTTGATGGAATTAATCAAATTTGCTTATGTTTCATTACACTATTGACCTATCAACTAGTTGTCGTATTGATACAAGCACGATCATCGATTGTATGTAAATTATGTGACTTCGACTAATTCCTTTGTGTCATTCTCCAAGCTTCAAAAGAGAAGCATAAAGATAAGGATGCTAATATAGAAAACCAAGGAGTCAATCTCGATACATCCAAATGGCTTCTCTAACTTATCCAAGACGCTACCATTTTCAAAAATATATCAATGCATGCAGTCTTCTATTTGGTAGACAAGGAAAAGTCTATTCAATCTCTCAAACAGAAATAAGCTTGTTTCATGTAAAGTCAAGTTCTGCTCGCAACTGTCCTTCTTAATCTACAACCTTTGTCGAACCAAGATATTTATAAAGCATCCATTGAAAAATCTCGTCTCTGTTCTAAAGGAAACACAAGAGAATTACATGAAATGTATCTATTCTTGCATAGCTAAATGTCCGTTCAAGCAATTCATTGGTGTATGCTAGCAGTATTTCTTTATCAAGCCTTAAATAGAACATTCCAAACACAGTATGTTTTGACTATCTACAATACTTGATTTGGTTTAGAAAATGCTTGTTCACACTCTAAGTGATCTCTCGAAATTAGAATAACCAAAATATACACATAGTAAGATAAAATTCGACGTATAACCCTTATAATATATTAAAACAAGAATAGAAACATTCATCGGACTGATGTTTAAAAATGTTGTGGCCAATATAACAGACAAGAAAATAGGATTTTTGAATGCATGTTTACAAAAAATGTCTCTGCTGCATAAGGGTCGCATATATTATAAACTCTTGATGGTTGCAGTTCCAGATAAACTTTCTTTTGTTTTTTTCATAAACCTTTCGATGGATAAGCAATGTGATGCACTATATGATTCTAGAAAAGAGTAGATTTCTCTCAGATAACATGCTAGTTTTAAGTGTCATGCATTTCGATTTACTACTGAATGATCAATAACTCCAAGAGGTTTTTGAAGAAAGTTGTGTGTTGCATTTGAAGAACTTCTGCTGCTGAGCACTATAACTACTTTTACAAGAAAATTTTCAAAACTATAATTATAAAATATGTTTCAAAGACAATACAAAACAATCTAGTACACTTTTTTCTTTCACTCTTGATATTTAAAAATGAGTGCTCACTTTAGCAAGATCAAAAACTTCAGTTGATTTTTTTCAGTTAATCGGTAAACACTTGACGAATCTTTGGTTTTACAATTATCTTCTCTTATTCATTTCATAGCTGAAGATGAACAGACATCATGAATGCTACAATGTAGAGAAAAGAGAGTCAGTTATTTCGGCGTCATCGATGAAAGTTTTCGTTTCTCGTACGTGCTCCTACAAACTATTTAAGTTCACAACTATGAAGATCTAATTGAAAGAAAAATCAAATACATTAATGATATCGTTATTTTCATTAGGTACTTCACAAATGAATTTGCTAATGTTCATTCTTAAATGCAGTCATTTATAACAATAATCAAACACCTTCGGTTTTTTTAAACTGCATTAAACCTTAATATATCTGACATTCTGTCAGAAGTTGCTTTTTCAAGCAAGAATGTCATAAATATTATTGAGTGTTATCCAGGTCGCCTTCTCCAAACTGTAGAATAGTTAACAACTTGCCTAAAATTATTCACACTATTGGAGCACTGCTTTCACTCCTATTTGTCTTTTCTTCACCGTTTATAAAAAAACAGCAGTTAAGTCCTAGTTTAATAAATGTTTAGAAACTCGAAAGTATAATTATATACCTTGAAGAAATCGATGATCTTGGTTATACAATTTATTATTACTATCTAGAGATGATAATCTCTACTTTTGAATAAGCAAACGATGAAGAAAAGCAGTTAACGATTCTCTACTAATACTTCGTATTCATTATCTGTCATTGCAACAAGGCGCACAACGTCAAACATATGCAAATCTAGCATGGAGTACTCGAAGTCATTTACGAATTCTATATGAATATAACCCAAGAGCCTGACGTTGCCACTGAATTCGAAAGAACGATGGGGAAGATATCGATTACAAGCTTGTCTCGAAGAAAAACTAACAAAACTGAAGAGCATCACTGCACGATTATCTAGTAACAGTTGAACTTGAACAATGCTACGAGTCGGTTTCATCTGTTCTTTCTTACATGGATGATATGTAACTATTGGCTAACTATAACAAAAATTATGAATAGAAAGCCATGTCGATAAATGACTAACAGCATTTATTAATCTATCACTTTTGTTCGGAATATCTTTTTCCCACATAATAAGAATCTTCCTATTCTGATAAAGATGAATTATATTATTTATAGTTCCATAAAAATGAGTTTATTAAAATTAGAATATCGTAATTAAAATAAGAAATCGATAATGATAAAATAGTTATCAAAATAAAGAAATAAATCTTAATTCTTGATAAAGCTTGCCAAAAAAATAGTACTCAACATTCTCAGCCAAGTCTGCTCTCAAGTTGCCAATAAGATAAACACTTGAAAACGACTATTTGAACATTATGGAATATGCTAATCAGCATTTCTTTTGATTGAAATAATCTATACAGTTTTTACAATAAAACCAAATTTTATTTTTCTATTACTATTTGCTATATGAATAGTTATATTGTTTAATATTATCTTAGTAAGACTTAATAAGATGAATGACTATCTAATCGTATTTTACATGATATTGTAAAGGATTCTATATTACCAAACAATTGTAGTTAACATTACATTAAACATTTCTAACTATTTTGTTGAAAGATTCGAACACTGTTTTACACATAGCTCTCAATTTATAAGTATCAATCAGATAGATGTACAGTAATGAAGGCAAGTGCTTTGAACTATTTAATGCTACTAAAAGACAATGTAACGCAATAAATAAAAATATTTCATCACAAAATATATCACTGTAAACAAATCGACATTCTAAACCAGCAGCTATAATGTGAATAGCAACGTAGCTTTTAATATTTCTTAGTTATTAAATATTCAGAATGTGCATAATAATTAAATTCAACAAATGTGTATTGAATACACATCATTATTCTTAAACAATTGTTTATTATACGACAATATTCTAGCTGTTTGTAAGATAAATTTTTTTTTACATTTTTCTTGTGTATCTAATTTAACAGAGTCATGTTCCATGAAATAGTTGCTTGTCTTTTCAGTAGTATTGTTTCCATTTCTTTTTCCCATAGATAACGAACATCAATCATTTGGAACCAAATAAAAATGATTAAATAGTATGCTGCCTCTCACAAGAGAAGTTGTTTCGTTCGACCTATCAATAACAGATTCACTTCTCATTATCAACATCTATAGATAAAAATCTGGCAATGACAAAATTAAAAGCATTTTAATTTATCCGTAATTGGCATGAGATAAAAAGCAATACACTACTGACCATAAGTCCCAGGATGTGTGATACTTCTCCACTGCTTCGATAATTTTTCATTAAATTTTTACCAGGGACAGTTCTTAAGAAACTCTGATCGTCAGCACCGACTCGAGCTCTAATGACCGAGATAGTATGAAGTTATGATTCAAACACTAGTTTTACTGCTATTTACCTGTAAACCAATATCCACAGTTTTTATGAAAAACAATTGAGATGCTAGAAATCTTGTTTAAACTGTAAGTTGTTTCTTCGCTTGTTAATGTCAATTGATTTCGCGGTACAGAAATATACGGCGAGCATTTATTGTTCGTGGACTTTTAGCATCTCAATTGTTATTCATAAAAACTGTGAATATTAGTTTACAGATAAACAGAGGTGAAACTAGTGTTTGAATCATAATTCCACACTATCTCGATCAATAGAGCTCGGGTCCGTGCTGACAATCAGAGTTTTTTAAGATCTATCTCTGGTAAAAATTTGATGAAAAATTATCGGAGCCGTGGGAGAGTATCACAAATCCCAGGACGCATGGCCAGTAGTATATATCCAAAAATGTTTAATTAAAATTTGTCACAAAAGACCATCACTTACTTAAAAAGAATGTTGTTGGAGTCTTGTTGAAAAGGTTGATGAACATATTGAAGCTATTAACAAATACTTTCATGCACAATCTGAAGTAGCTACAGATGGAAGATCTACAATTAGTACCTGTTATTCTCCTGGAAAAGGTGAATATACTATGAAGAAACATGGTAAACATCCTACAGTTCTTAATTATATACTTACATCATCATCGGGTATTAGTTTGGCACAAAATGTATGTAATACTGCTAAAGAAGCTTCATTTTCTATACTTGTTAATAATCTTAAAATGAAATGTCTATCTTTTGTTGTTGGTCTTGATCCATCCCAAAGAATTAAATTGTTACAACAAATTATGAAAATTCAAAATATATTTGGTTCAGATAAATGGTTATCAGGTTTATACGAAATTTTCTTTTTTGTTATAAATGTATTTTTATTTAATTTATCTTAGATCAACAAGAAATGCTCGATATTTCTGGTTTTGAAATGTTATGGATTTACTCTTCAATTGATGATTTTGAAAAATTATTACGAGAACTTCATTATGAAATAGAAGAAGCAGCAGCTGCTGCTGAAAACATAACAACTGAAGCAATGAAAAAATAGTTATTTAAAGTTTGATGATTAACAGAAAAAATGTAAACTATCCATCAAACATTTTCATTTACTTTTTGTCACCTGATACCTTTTTACATAAATATTACGGATACCTAGGTTTTTTTTCTGTTTAGAAACATTCCAATCGAGCGTAGGTGTGAGTGTTGGTACGGGTGGGCGTGTGGTGATGGGTCGGTTGGGTGCGGGTGTCAATCTTCACTTTAAGACTCCCACCCACACCCACCCAGGTCGCCAATTACGGACTTTGTACACGACTGTAAACGGTAGTATTTTAGCGATTTATATGGTCCAGTATTACGGTCGTATATTGCCGTGACTGTATACGGACTCTGCAGACGAAGACTGTAAACGACCACTTTATTCTCCTTATATTACCGTATTTCTCTGTAAACGACACGGAGATATACGATCGTAATACTGGATCATGTGTTTTGCCGTATTTTTCCATGTACGGTTGTTTACGACCATGCCTGCTCGATCTGGGCAAACCCAACGGATGTACTCTTTACAATGTATTATGTTATTTACTTATGAAGTTGTCACTAATGAAGTGCTACGATATGTACTCGGTCAGTTTGGCATTCAAGCCAACTTTATTAAGTCGATCAATCTAAGTAAATGAGTAATGAAAAAACCCATGTTTTTATTATGATATCTATCTATTACAGACTTTTATCTGCATATTTCATATTATCATTTTGGAAATAAGTTACTCTGATGCAATAGAAAATAATCTGTTGGTGAATCAATTTTAACAATTTACAATTTTCTGTTTATCACTTTTAACCATGATTGTCTATACAATTTATTCTATTATAGTATCGCATTCTTGCTTCTCATAGAGTTATTGTCATGTTAATATCATCATTAAATGTATATTGTGTCAATAATGTTTTACTATTGTAATCAGAAACATTCATAAACTAATTATTTATAGTCATCTTTATTCATATTTAATAGCTATTCTGACCAGTGAGAAATATGAAAAGAAGAATATGTATAATTAAAGAAAAACTTGTTTGACTTGATCTATAAGTGAATTGACCTATTGATTTGACAAATTCATCAATAATATTTTCGATATCTTATTGTGGAACGAAGTTCTTATGAATACTGATAGTAGCCAAATTACTAGATTCTTGCATCACTTATCCTATCACGTAAATTAGATTTAATTAATTTCATGAAAGAAAATGAACGCTCAGCAATAGCTATCGACACTGGTATTTGACATCTGAATTTAAATGAGAGTAATAGTTGATGAATTTAGTTGCTTGAATAACAGAATCTTTATGATGTTTACATTTATCAGGATTTGATAAGTAATCAATGGCGTCTTCTAATGATCTTAATGCTCTATTAACAACTCGGCGAAAATATTGATCTATTCCTTTACGTAAAATAAAACACAATAATGGCAATAAACTTCTTGTTCTATTTCCGAATGTACCACTCAAAAATATTTGGTTAGCCATGAATGTTGACAGACTGATTGAACTTATATATTTCTTTCGACTTTCGGAAAAATATAATTTGGCAGCAGAATTCATCATTCTGTTAACACTTTATTTAATAATGAAAAAATGCGTCGTAACTATTTGATTTGAAACATACAATTGAATATCTTCATCTCTAATAGGTATACTTATAATGATGGTAGAATATTGAGTAACAGACAACAAGAATATAGCAGTTGAGATATTTTTGCTATTATAGATTTCGAGCTCATGATTATTATTGGAATTATAGAAATTATCTATTGTTGATTGTTGTGAGACATTTTTATTTATATCATTCTTAGATCTTTTGTTCGATACGCAGCTTGTAATAGTATCTTTCTGTTTTTTTATTCACTATCTTTTGTATATGTTTGCTGAAAAAAATATTATGTTGATACTGTTATATATGAATCATAAAGTAAAAGAAAATACTTGTCATTGTATGCGTCATACTTATATTCGATCTTGATTATAACAAACAAAGTGTCGACACAAAGACACCATGCATATTGATTATTCGACACAAATGTTGATACAAACTCATATACTATAAGTTGATAATGCAACTTTTTGCTTAGGAGATGGGAGCGACTGATTTCCCGACTCTTTTCTGTGAATGTCTCCAATTGTAATGTGTTATTATTTATTTTTCTTGGTAAAATCTTACTTGATACATGATTACAAATCTTTTTATCAAATATAACAAGAACTTATTGACTGGTAAATTCAATAGCGATTAGTAGTACAACATTGTGTTGATTTTGTTCAGTTTTATATTCATTAATATTCACCAAATAGAGGATTTTGTTCAATTCATAATAAAGAGATGATCCATTGAAAATATAAAAAAACAAAGAAATCAACTCTATTTCTTCAAATAAATAATTGATGAATTTCCGTGCATTGTTTAAATGAATGTCTTTCATAATTATTGCTGATGCACATAATCATTTGTCATACTTCTTTTGTTCAGTATCATGAAATAATGTTTCACAACGTAAATATAGTTTTTCTATATATATATATATAAATATGAAATCGATTTTTATTCTTTATTAAAAAATACATAAACAAATAAATACTACTAATCATCTTATTTAAAATAAAATAAATATCAATATTAATCACTGTCATCATCAAAATCTCCACTTACACTTCCAACCGTTCTCGATGAACGTTCTTCTTGATGATCACTATCATGTGAATTACTCACTGATGTATTCATATTTTCTTTTTCTGCATGATAAATACGACTTATTTGTAAGAGCATATTTCCAATTTCTGGATCATTCAAATAATTAGTTATTGATGTTGGATTTTCTGCTATTTGTAACATAACTAAAGTATAAAAATAGACGACTAGTCGTTTTTTTTTATTCAAAAATAAATCTGTATATACTAAAAAAAGTTTTTGGACTATTCAATGTTTTTTGAACAATAGGATTTTGCATAATTGATTGAAATATACTTGAGTTCGGATCAAGACCTTGTTCAGTTTCAGCATCATTCATATTTTGTTGTTGCTGTTTGTCACTAAGAAGATATTCACACTGAAAATGAAATAAATAGAAGAAAAAGAAAACAACAAATTAGTTTTTCTTTTCATACAGCTAAATTTTTATCGTTATTAAACATTCGTAATGCAGTAATAATATCATCATGTGCAAAACCAATTTCTTCTAATGATTGAATTGCCTATTAAAATAATACAAATACATAATCCTTTTTTTTTTCTTATTAATACTAATTGAACTTCCTTACTTTTGCATTAGGTTGAAAACGTTGTTGTCGAAATTTTCGAACTGATACAAAAGAACCATTACGTGAAAATAATGGTGTTCTTACAGTTTCCTATATAAAAAAAAAAAAACAAATAAACAAAAATATTATCCAAATTTATTTTTTAAACTCACTGGCTTATTATTATTATGGTTGGATTCATTTTCATGATCACTTTCATCATCATCATCACCACCAATATCCGGTTGCGTAAGAAGTAACTCCATAGCAGCATGAAGATCATATCTAGATAATAAAACATAATTGATATGAATGACTTAATTTAATATTAAGAAATAAACCTTGTTCGTTTAAGTCCAATTCGTGCCTGTTGTTCAGTAAAACCCATATCAATTAATTTACTTATTTGATGACGACGTGTTTCTATGTCATCAGCATTCATAGACATTGTTGTTGGATTATTTGATTCATCTGATGATGATCGTAAAAGAAATTCTAATTAAAAGAATTAAATATGAGAAGAAGAAGAAAAATAATATTTACTTTACCTTCAGCTTGTTTAAAAATATTTTCAGCATCAGGATGATACCATAGTAATTTTTGTGAAGTTTCAATCAGAGTAATTAAAATACGATTTAGATCAGTACGAAACTATAGATAAAGTAACGAATTATTTCTTACACGTTTCATCAAAAAAAAAAATAATATAAATATTTACTTCAGTTCGAGCAGTAGAACGATAATCTCGATTGAATAAACGTGAAGATTGTGGAAGATCTTGTGTTCGGTTTTCAATCAATGTCGCATCAATAGGGCAAGGAGTTGAATTCTATTGAATTGGAAAAAAAATAGATAAGCTTTGATAACTTTAGATAAAATGTCAAAAATGACGAATTAAGAATTTCATCCTATCTAGAAATGTGCAGTCTGTTAATATAAACACTGCAATATTGAACAATGAGTCATCAACACAATATCCACCAGTACATTGATTACATTGACATCGATGTGAACTGAAGTCCTAACTACAGTGACACCCGCGCACACGGCAACATTGAGACACTCACTCTATCAAAATATACTCTTCATTGTAGCGGTATGTTTCATTTGCTTCAGTGAACTGTAGCATAAATGTGTCAATGTGCACAAACAATACTAAGTCGATGGTCACTAAATTAAAATCGCACATTTCTACTTCTATCCTATCGGAACTTCTAGTTAATGATGGATAATTAAAAGATAGGTGATTTTTCTTCTAAATATAGACTCCTATATTCATAGTTTTCGTGACTGTTAAATTTGAATCGAACAAAACTAGTGTGCAAAATGGCTTTTAGTATTAAACAGTATGTGAATGCTAAAATTTGTCTCCCAACAATAAAATTTTTATACTTGTTCAGATTTTGGACTTTGAATTATACGTTTCATTGCCAAGAGATACTCATCTAGAAGAAATTTAAAATAAATCTTTGGTGAAACCAATGCATTTTTTTTCTTCAAGCGAACCTCCATCTTTAACTTTGTGTTGTCCTAAAGTTTTTTCTTCATCAACCATTCGTTTTGATGAAATTGATATTAAATTATAATTATCAACTTCATCGATTGATGAATTATGTCGACTAGTTGCAATCGTATTGAATGATGATCGACGATAATTCGATAAATTATTATTATTATTAGTATTATTATTTATTAAAAATTGTCTAACAGCTGAATATTTCACATCAGCAAATGTCGTTTTTTCTAATGGAAATGTTTCTTCAAATATTGAACCTGTTTTATACCAAATTTTTAATGTAACATGATGTAAATGATCATTAAACATTGTACTGGTCGCCCCTCGCATTTTCTATTTTAAATGTAAAAAAAAAAAAAAAAAAGAAAATCTAGAAAAAAAAAAAGATTTCTTTCATTGTTTATCTGTTGCGTTTAAAAGTTTTTAATACAACAGAATACATACACACAAATGATTTTCTTTTTCTCTCATTTCGGCATATATATATCTGTAAGTTGAGAAAAGAGAGAGAGAGAGAGACAGACAAATAGAGTAGAGACAGTGCACATACAGAAACACAAAGACATATTTTTAATCAATGCAAGAGGCGTTAAATGTTTCATTTGTTTTTTTTTTGTTTTATTTTCGAAATACATATCAGTGTTGTAAGAAATAAACTAGAAGACGCATAAGAACAATGTATACAAGTTAAACAATAGACTCACACACAAACAAAAAAAATGTACATAGAAAAAAAACTACAGTAATCAATTACATCTGGTGGAGAAGAAAGCAAACTATGTAAAAAAAAAAGAAGAAGACGAAAAGAAGTTTGATTTTCTTTTGTTTTGTTCTTTGTTATTCAAGGATTAATTTAGATTAAGATATTGACCATTTTCTTTCAGCCAATCAACTGCACAAGCTTTAACGTGTGCAGTTATACCTTGACATTTGAGAGATTTCCGACATTGAACATTCGGCTAAAATAAATTATCTGAAAATATTTCAATCTAACTAAAATTCTTATTTCTTACACATTCATATTCTCCTTCAGCATTTTTCATTAATAAAGTAACAATTTTATTTTTTCCACTTCGCCGTTTTTTAACAACATTTGCTGATGATGCAAGTTGTTGAGATGATCGATCATGATGATGTGAATTTGTTTGATGATGTGTTGCATGTCCACTATGTGTATGATGTTGTTGATGATGTGACGGAAGTTTATTTGTACCACTACCATTTTGTTGATTATTTATATTATGATGACTACCTGTTATATGATGATTTGTTGCACCAGCAGCAAGTGCAGCAGCAGCAACAGCGGCTGTTGATGCAGCTGCAGCTTGTTGTTGTGTTGTTTGACTAATATAACCACATTGATGTTGTATAAGTGCAGCTTGAGACATTGATATTTTACCAACAGTTGCCCATCGTTCTAATAATTCACATAATGTACGTTGTTTTTCATCAAGCACCTGAGCCGTTGTCGATGATGGTTGTTGTTGAGATGTTGTTAATAATGCACGAATATTTGCTTTAACAATGTTTGTTTCTATTTAAATCGAAAAATAAAAATGACAAATTTTAGATTCTTTTTCTACTAAAACGAAAGATTTATTTTTGAGTTTTACCATTAATTAATTGTTCGATTTCATATCGTAATAAATTTTCATGTTCATGTATATGATCAATACATAGTAATAAATGACAATGTGGACCTAAGATTTCATAAAGAAAAATTTTAATGAAATAAATAGTTAAGAAAAAAGAAAATCTCACAAGAAACATAAAGATTTCTTGAACATGTTAATAAACCATTTTCATTTCTATGTTGACATTTAACTGATATTGTTTGACATATACCAGAAAAATAAAGTGATGATGCTTGATCATCAGCTGCTTGTTGTGTTGCAGCCATATGTGTACCGGCTGCCATTTTATTTGAAAATCCAAAAGAGTACGTTTTTATTATTTTTTTCTTTTATGTTATGAATAAAGATAGATAATTACATATACGCATACACATACACACACACTCACAAAATAAAATTTTGTTAAATAAATAATTATATTGAAGATTTTTTTTTTTCAATTTAATATTGAATATGAATATGAATATTTGAACAAGACAAAATAGATATAAGAGAATATAAATAATGATTTGAATAAATTTCGAGATTGATAGTTATTTGACAAAAGATATTTCAGTTGATCCAATTTCAATATCCAGATTTTATTTGTCAAGTGTTTAGTATCATCGACCATGATGAATTATTTTTCATATTCGTCATTTATAGAGGTCTTTAAACATTTATGCATTTAGAGGCTACTAGTGACATCATTCAATTAGTAGTCAGTTAAATATAGTGAAACAATAAAATTTGAAAAGAAAAGTTTATCGTTCGATAGAATTGATCAAAGAAACGAAAGTGTCAATTCGATTTTCTACTAATAAATAAACTTCAATGAAATGAGCTGACCAAATGTCATCTGATGGAAAATTAACTATTTTTATCTTTTCTCTGTTTTATTTTTCGCTGATATCTACTGTAAATAAAGTAGAAGACATAGTGAAACAAAAAAAAAGAGTATAATAAGAACTCATAGTGAAGATTACATTTTAAATAAATAGAAATAAACCACGATGAAATTTTTGTTATTTGCTCTCTCTTTCATCATTATATTTTACTTTAATTATTCAATTGGCAGATCAATTGACGATGCAGACGATGCAAAAATGGCATTTGATTCAGAAAGGGCTATCAGATGTATATATACAACTAAATCTTTTCTTTTTAAAATATTTCAAAATATCTTATAATTGTTTGCATGTCTTTAGCTGAGCTGACAACTGAAAATTCAATAACTACTGAAAATGCAACGGACTCACGTTCATCAACGACAATAAAAACCACTACATCGCTAAATCGTGTTTCTACTATTGTTCAAATTGTGGTTCCGATAACTATAGCTGGTGTGACGCTATTAGTTGGTTTTGGTTTAATTGCTTATGCCTTCATAACAGGTGGCAATGGTATATTTTTCCTAACACGTACTAGATGAACGTTTATTTCCTTAAAACAAATATCTAATAATAAACTATATCATTTGTATTTATCAGAAGGGTTGACCTATCATATTTATTTGAATGTATGCATATTTAACTTATATGTTTTGTTGGTTCATTCAAAATCCGTATACAAAAAAAAAGTAGAAGGTGCAACAGAATACACACAAACAAATGCTGCTGATAATTTGTTTTTTTTTTTGTTTGGTTATGATTGTTGAGCACTCATGTGTATAAAGGGTTAAAAAAAAGAAAGAAAAGGAATTTAGACGAAAAGCAATGAAATTTAATATGATCCGATCTCCGATCGTTTGATGTCACCAGTAATCGATAGATACAAATGAAATGAAAAGTATATTATTTTCTTATAGATAATGATTGAAAAGAATTTTTATTTGAAAAGACGAGCACGCATTTGTTTGATACCATCCAATTTACGTTTCATATTATTTAATTCATAACGATTTTTTAACTAAAAAAAAATATAAAGAATAAAGGATTTTACTTGATAAAAAATGAAATAAAACATACTGCATCAGCTTCCATTTGATAAAAACGTGGTGCAACACCATCCGAATTAAGAAGCGATTCACGAGATATATCACTTCGTTCGCGAATATCATAAATTTTATCGGCGCATTCATCATTAATACGTAAAAATTCTCTGCAAGAAATTATAGAGATATCTTTTTTTAAAGAAAGACACAATAAATTTCAGCTTACTTTCCAGCTTCGGCTTGATCTTCACATCGCCATGTTGATGGTTTATGATCAACTTTTTTACCTAATGATTTATATTGTGAACCTACATCATTGACATGATTTTTTTCGAGCCATGCATACTAGAACAGTAAATATTGAGACGAGACTTGTTTTTGTTTAAAAATTAAAAAAAAAATTTACTTTATTTTGATAGCGATCATGAAATTCTGCACGATCACTACCAGTAAATGGAGTTAAGCTAGCATCCAAAGAATGTGTCGGAGATGTGTAATTTGAATTACGAAGAGTATTCGATGTTGATGATGAATGATATGAATCGTAAGATGAACGCATCTTGTCTATATTTTTCTTTGCTTTTGTAAAAATATATCTATATAAATTGTATAAACAACATTATTTTAGCAGAAACGTAATAGAATCCAAAAAGGAAAGAATAAGAAGGATGCAAAGCTAATGAACATGATTGATTGATTGAGCGATAACAGCTGCTATAGTATCATTTCATATCCTCATGCAAAAAATGATCGCCTTTATATACAAAAAATTCTAAAGATAATAGTTTTATATATGTATTATTCAAAAAAAATTCTTGTTCATAAGAAAAGAGTTTTTATTTTTAATATCAAATCGACCTTCACTTACATCCAATTGTTATTTTGAAGATATCTTTTTCTCTTCTTTTCTTGGTGGATACCAGCAACACAAGCACGAAGTTGTCGAACGAAGTCTGTTATGTTGTTTTGGGAATTGTAGTTTTTTCTTTTTTCTTTTTCTCTCTCTTTCCTTTTAGTTCTTAATATCGTCACAAGAAAAAACTAGATAGACAAGCTCGATTATCACAAAGATCACGTATAGAATAGATATATAGAAAGAAAAACGCAGTAATATTCTCTGTGATCTTTTCCGACATGCATATTGAGAATTACAAGCAAACGACAATAACGAAGAGACGCATATTCTATGTCTATATGTGTTTCTAGTCCTAAAAATAAGATGACGATTTTCTTCTTTTTTTTTCTCGTTTTTTTCCTTTTTCTTGCTTAGTTGCAGTAATATCCATCGATGATGATGATTGGGAAACCGGTTGCTATATATGCTTGCCTCATGGCCAGATAACTGACGAGTCGATAAAAATAACACAGACAAGAATAGGAAAAAAAAAGAGAATAGTACATTTTCATGCACTAAATAATTCCTTTGGTAGTTAACAATGGTGTTTTTGTTAGAATTGGAAGTAAATACAGAATCTTTTAATAGAAAATTTCTATATGAAAGAATAGAATAATGAATTGACTAAATAGATTCATTCAATTTTATGATGTAATATTGGTTTTTCTTCACAATGAGATAGATGATGATTGAGATATTGATATTCAATCTGTTTCTATCCCGCCTGCTGATGTTAGTCGGATGTCATCAAGGACTTTTCTTTTATCTTTCCAACAAGTGAGAGCATCAGTGAGAGCGTAGGTGGATGTCTGCATCTACAGACAGTAGTATTGAATCAATAAAATCATACTTGAACAGACAGAATTCCAACTGTGTTACAACATTATGTTGTTCTTATTATTATGATCATGAATGAATTGTTATTTTGTTGCATCATAACATTTAGCTATTCTTTTCTATTATTGGAAATTTCCCTTTATTCATCCATTCCTTCATAATACAAATTACATAAAGTAATTTATATTTTAATCTTTTTTTCTAATTTTTCTTTTATTAGATTTGAAAGATAGTCTGATGTTTTGTTTTTATATATAATGAACTTTGAGATTAACTAAAATAAACAAATTCTAAAATATGATGATCATTTATTTATCTTTTCTTTTTTCACTGTCTGTCAATCGAAACTATTTGGAGAAATGACTTGAGTGTCAAATATCGATAATACATAATTTAGATATCTCTACTGCAATGTAAATCTTTGATATTCTCAGTTAATTGATTCATATTTATGCAAATTGTTCATTATCGATATGTATCTTCAAAGTCATTTCAGGCATTTGTATTTAAGGTCAACAGGAACCAATCAAATAAACCTTTTGCTGATATGTATTCTTTTGTAGCATTAAATCTTGTATATATCGTATCACTTTGCATCATTGATTTATATTTTCTAAACCTATTAAATTGTTCCGTGATAGTGTTGTTATAATTTGAATAGATGTTAGTTTCAGGATGTTTATACATTCAGATAGACATCGAAGTTCTCTTTTTATTAAGACCAATACTTATTCAAAAACATATTTTGCTGAACTTTTATAAAGACGTTCATTTTGAAAAACAAATATATCAAACTGAAAACTAATTCATCAATACAACTAAATTGGATATGTTTCTGTGTATATTGATCATCTGACAATAATCTAGATTGTCTAGTAAGTTAAATGACACAATCATCGATTCAATAATTGTTTTCAGCGATCAAAAAGATGATTAAAAGAAATATACACATTGAGCATGCATAAGTTTGTGTTTGCTATTGAGCCTATCACTATAATCTGATATATTATTTAGTAAATCACTACTTTCTAATTGTTAGCTTTTTTCCAAAGGCAAATTTGTCATCGCCTACGCGCTATATGATGGCAACAATCATAAATCAATCCTGTATTTATTCATAATTGTCATTAATGCGCTGTTGTAGGATACGCAGGAAGTCATTATTGTATTTTTCACTCTTCATTGACAACGACTCGAATGTTTTCATTCCATATTATTTTCGGTGAAAAGATATTTATGCCTGATGGTATTTACTACTTCGACAATGATTCATAGATTATAGCTATTACAAATATTAAGTAGACTACATGTTCAGCGTCCAATGTGTCAATCTTTATAAATACAAAACAATTTAGTATATTCAAAAGTATAGCATAGCTTGAATTAATGAAAAACATCAGCAAGTAATATATCACTTTGGAGACGAGTCTTAACTCATTAGATCGATCCTATTGGAGCTAGAGAAAGCCTGAAAAAAATCGTACCGATATCTCTTCCTTCTTAAATTATGGCTATTTCAGTGATTTTCTCAACCAAATTTTTTTAGATCGTTATTTCCCTGACATCGTTTGAAAATCGACTTTTGAGTTTCTCATTCAGACTTTACACAAATAAAGTTCTAAATGGCAATTGATTTATTGTGAAAGTAACAAATTCTTTTAATATTATTCATCGTGAGATGTAAGTATAAGAACAATGTGTGCCTTTTTATATAATAAAATTTTGAATATTGGTATCTAAACCAAGGCAATACTAGAAAATCTAACACTTTCGCAATCAACTGTTCGTATGAAAAACGTTATTTGTGTAAATATTAAACTCCGTAGTCGATTTAAAAAAGCAACCTGTGAACGATTCACGACGTTTTGTTAAAAAGTTCATTAAGATAGTCATAGTACAAGAAGGAAGACTCATGCCAATGGATATTTTAAAGCTTTCTGTAATCTTATCAGAACCTAACCAATGTACAGTGGGCAAATTCTATAAAGCATATGGACATGATTTATTTTCTGTCAAAAACGATTTTGTTTTCATACGAATATTAGCTTCTTGTACTCAAAAATAAGATTGATGAAAAAAAGATCATTTGCGATAGATAATGCCTGAGGAAGACCATTATTCCAGACTCATATTTGAAGAAAGAACTATTGAAATTTGTAGCAAAAAATACTTAATCAATGATGACATTTGAAGATGGCAAGAATAAGAACAGTTCTATCACATGTTGCCGTATTAATTACTGATATAGATCTGTGATCGGTCAATTCATTGTGATCCATTTGACCCGATTAGTTCATTACCGTTTATTCATTGTGCTACTTTGTTCGGCTAATTCTCTGCAACAAGGTTACTTTGTATCGTATTAATGCACCAAATGATAAAAACGATTAATGTCGAGAAACAGTTCGAAAAGATCTATTGAAGACTTTCAAAAAAACTTGAGTCTCTCGAGTCAAACTCGCCTCTACTCGGCTCGATTTCGATCTATGTTGTCTAACACTTTTGATTTTTCACAAAAAAAAGATGTATTTTTTTGTTTTCAGAATTTTTTTATCAATGAACTGATCGTTAAAAAAATGTATAAGTTGCAATTCAAATTTCGAAAAAAGTTCACTTTCATTTTTTAAACTAATGTACACGTTGTTGTCCACTGTGCAAAGTTAAGACTAATATGAAAATCGTTTTATCATTTGTTGAGATTTCGTCGTAAGTTTACAGACTTAATCTTTCATTTAAATCAACATAAAAATAAAAGTTTGATTTGTCAGCAATGAATAAGTTTATTCTCTTTCTGGAAAAACGTATAATAAACATTCACAAAACAACATAGATTATGTATGGTTGCAGAAGTCATTTTTAAATTTGGTTTTTAAGTAAATCAGAAAATTTTGCCATAAACTTATCAACTTTACTTTTAATAACAGTTGAACAATAGCCTTTACTTGGATGTCTATTAAAATAATTTTGATGGTATTCTTCAGCTGGATAAAATGGATTCTTTTCAATTGGTAAAATTTCTGTTACAATTGGATCTTTATAAATTTTTTCATTAGTTAAATGAGCTTTGAACATTTCACTTTCTTTTTGTTGTATTGAATCATGATAAAATATAACAGAACGATATTGAGTACCAATATCACCACCTTGCCTAAAGCCAAAAAATGCTTCATTCATTCAAGACAATTGATATTTGTTTCTTACTGATCTTTTGTTGTTGGATCATGAATATTAAAAAAAACATTTAATAATTGTTTATAAGCGATTGTTTGTGGATCAAATGTGATCTGAATAACTTCAGCATAATTAGTAGATCCAGTACATACTTCTTCATAGGACGGGTTTTTTGTATTACCACCAGCATAGCCAGAAACAACTGTTTCTACACCTATAGCAATCAAATAATTGATCTTCTTCTTATAGAAATTTCTTTTTTTTACCTTTAAGACGCTGAAAAACGGCTTCAAGACACCAAAAACATCCTCCACCAAATGTAGCTAAATTTTTCGTAACTGACATTATCTAAAAGAAAAATTTCACCACAATGTCTCTTTATACATTAAAATTGAACACAGAAACATATCGTTGTTTTTTTTATTATCAATTTACACAAACATTGACAAACAAGGGTCTTTTGAAATCCATCCTGTAGAATAATAAAGTTCGAAACCACGAAACATTTGATATTTACATTGTTGATATATAACTGATAACTTTTTAATTTGATCATAATTTTTATTATTAGTTGAATATATGTTTTTATATAATTGAAATATTTCAGATTTACATAAACGAGATCGTTCATTATTTGGTCTAATAAAAATTTTCAAAATCAAATTCATTTTAATTACAGAATGACTCTACCGTATGTGTGACATGTTAACATCGAGTTCTTCAACATCGATTTTCATTTTTCAAATAGTAGAGAGCTCAGTCAATTTACTTACTACAATGACAAACAATTCGCTATTCATTCTTAAATTGGAAAGATTAGCGATTCACAAAACTAAAGCAAAATATAGCCAATACTATAAAAAAACGCCGAAAAAAAACACTAAAATGTTCCTCATCATATATTTCTGACGCAAAATTTTCGGCACATAGTGATATCTAAGGTTTTGTGAAATAAAAGTCGATCTACACGCCTACATATAACACTTTTCGCGGAAATACAAAACAGATGGACATTTTAGCACGAAAACATTATCATAGATAGGTACATATATACGATATGTGCTTATAATTTGATTATTTATGATAATACTAGCGGCAGTACCCGGCGTTGCCCGGGAAAGTTCAATCTTAATATATACATGCAAAACATCTATTGGGCTCGAAACATGTACAAAAAAAACTAATCAGGGGAAGCCCCGCTGGGAAACAGATTCGTCGACAGCCTTGCAAGAAAAATGGGCTTTGAACGAAACAAAGCACAACAATACATTTAATTGGTCTAAATCCTCACGTTCACAATCCCTATTGATGAAGAGAATTACGACGATAAATCGTACTTTGTACTGCTGTAATTACACTAAATTCTAGTTGGTTGCAAAAGCAGAAAGGTAGAAAGATTTTTGTGTGGCAGAGCTTTTAGCAACGTAAGGAGTCGATATCTATGAGCTAGTGGCTGCCGCACAGACTTTTCAGCCTGACAAACTGTTTATTCGAAATTTCCGCCTTGAACGACCCTCGGGAAACCACTTTGCCCAAAACTCAATTTGTATTTGACATGGGTCACCGAGTTGGGTCACGAAAAACCCATTACGATGTCGAGCTCAATAGACTTGAGATTCCTGATGTTCTTCCTTCGATCATCCAGGGAGCTTCGTTTTCCCAAAAACTCGATCCTTATTAGTTTCCGGCCAACCAATAGGATTTCAAGGCAAATGGACATCGGATTCAGGCTCGTCGCCTCCACAGACCCCTACTAGACTGTTTTCACGAAAACGAAATTTTGATTAGCTGGTTTCTTAGCCATTGAATTCCTATTGGTTTCCAGTCAACCAATGGGATTTCGAGATGAATGGACATCAGATTCGGACTCGCCATCTCCAGAAACCCTTACCAAACCGTTTTCGGAAAAACGGAATTTTGATTAGCTGCTTTTTAACAGCTTAGTTCCTATTACTTTCCAGTCAATCAATAGGATTTGAGGTGAAATGGACCCCAGATTCGGATTTACTGCCCTCGAAAACCTATGATGACATGTCTTCTGTATGATCACGGAGCGGTGTTACGTAGTTCTTCTATACTAATGAATGCTGCAATCTGATTGGTTGGACACACAGACGGATCTTTTTTGGGCGGACGACACATGCTTTCTGGAAAAGGAATAGCCCTCGACCTTCCCCTTCATGAAAGAACAGTTCACCCAAAGTTTGGTCGTATTTGCTCGTACGGTGTCCAAATGCATAAAGAATAAACAAACAAACAAACAATCAAACAAACTTTCTTCTTTATATATTAGATTTTCGTGCTAAAATGACTATCTGTTTGGTATTCCTGTGAAAAGTATTATATATAGGCATGTAGAGCATATCAAATTTTAAAAAATCAGCTATATCACTATGTACCGAAATTTTGTGTTAGACATGCATAATGATGGATATTTTATCCTTCTTTTGCAGTTTTTTTATATAGTATTGGCTATATTTTGCTTTAATTTTGTGAATCGCTTATTTATGCAATTAAAGAATTTATAGCGTATCTTTTGTCATCATAATAAGTAAATAGACTATACTCGATACTATTTGAAACGTGAAAACGGATTTAGAAGAACTCGATGTCAATATGTCACATATGAGGTGAAGTCACCCTATATTCTTCTTACTTTCGCTTTCCTAATGATGGTTCAATTAATTCAATAGTTTTATCATTGATATTCCAATTAAGACTATCATAGGAACTATTATTACGATGTTTCTCTTCTTTCCATTTCAATTTTGTATGACCAATAAGAGGATGATTAAGACGATAAGGTTCCGATAATGGATTTGAATTAAAATATTCTTGTAATCGACAACACAAAGCACGACATAAATGACCATAATGAAATGGAAAACCTGAAATAAATATATTTTATATTATATTAATAATAGAGACAAAAACAGAAATCGAAAATACCAATTGTAATGGAATGTAGATAAATAGGTTCAACTATGTTTGAAAGAAGTGCACCTTGTATACCCAAAACATTCCAACGACAAATTTTATCTGAACAAGACATATGTCGAACATGTTTACCACTTGCAATAGCATCAAGAGAAATAATAGTACTTCTCGAATCTGTCGGAATTGTTCCTTCACCTTTAATTAATTTTTCATTAATCAAAAAAATAATTTCAATCATGTATACGAACCATTTTCAATTTTAGAACGAAGTTGACCTTGTACTGGTGCTGTTCGATATAATTGATGTTCATCTCTTATTGGCGCTTCAGTTATTTTATCTCTCGGAGTAAATAATGCTGAATCACCGCATGGTGCAAATGATGTATAAAAATGAATACGTATTGTAGATTTCAATGCTAATTTTTTATTATTGGCTTTTTCAAATATTGATTCTGTATTTTTTCGAAAACACTCTAGTTGTCCATACAAATATCTTAAAAAAAATAATAAGTCACAAAAATATTTCAAATTGATAAATATTTACAAACCTGATAAAACCCCGACGAGCTAATTGTTCAGCATGACTATCATGAACAACTAATCCTTCCGGTGATAATACTGAACCACCAACACATTTATTACCTATAATTTAATATTCAAAATATCAGATTAATAAAGAATATTATCCTATAGAGTATAGAAGAGTATTACGATCGATATTTTATATTATGATTCAAATATATAAGGGATATACAAGATATTTAAAGCTATCACATATGGAATCTGATTCTGTCTCAATTAAGACTCATAAGTCACATGAGAGAAAATAAGTATTCGCTATCCAATAACTGATGCAGAATCAAGGACAAAAGAAGTTTACTCTAATAAAATAAAATTATAACAAATCCTGGTGAGCTGCACACGACATGGTGTAAGTATTGACGTATGTTATCCAAATGTATATCACAAACATATAACCTGTCTTATTCTCATACCAAATTATTATAAATACTTAATACATACTACAAGTAGTGGTGGAGGTATTTTAATTCTTTACAACAGACTTAATCTTCTCCTTTCAAGAATCTATCGTGGACTAGTTACATTCAAATCGCATAAAATTTTCAGAATATGTTAGAGCTATAGTGAAAATTTTATGCTAAAATTTATAGCCTTATATCATGATGTTTTTGAACGATATTCAACAAACAAAGGACGAAAATAGCTCATATGACAACTCAAAATTCTCTGTAGAACCTCATTTTATAGATTTCATTTTTTTGCTTGAAAAAGTATGTCAAAGTGCAGTGCCTGGCAGATGTCTTTTTTTAAACTCTTACTTTTTATGCAGAGAAAAAGGATGACAATTTCAATACCTCGAAAAACTCTTAAAAAATTGGTCACCTATTTATAAAAATGCTTGTTTATATAATTATTAGAAAGCTTTATTCATAATACACGCTATGTCAGTCACTATATCTTCATACGCTTATTCAAACAAAGATAAAAAGGATTATCTGCAAAAAAGCTGCTTCAAGAAATCTGGGATGAAGAATCAGAAAAGTATAAACAGAGAAAAAAGCATATTTTTCTAGTAGACGATGACGGGTCAATCATGTTCTTTATGAAAGATCAAACCTCAGGCTATCTTCCTATGCATTTATCTTAGTTTCGATTTTTCGGACGATAGCTGACTTTTTTTGATGGGCAAAGAGTCTTACCTACACTTCCTCCCAATATGGTCTGCTTCTGAAAAGAATACTTTATACATTTCTCTGATATTTTATCATTCTTCAACTAAAATTTTAATAGTAAAATTGTGATAAGAGCTGTTTGTTATAATATGTGACGGTAAAATTAGATAACATTTTGTCTTCAATGTGTATTTTCTTCATGATGTTCTCTTTGTTCTTCTTCTCACTTTTTCTTTCTTCTGATCTCCTGTAATGCCCAACTATCTATAAAAATTAAGATATACAAAAAGTGGTGTCGATAGAATTGAAAAAGAAATACGGAAACAAACTTATTAAGTTTTTACTCATTCATTTCTTCTGATCAGATACCATATTATTTTAGATTGTTCGCCTTAATCGAACAAAATTTAAGTGACGAAAAAGATTCAAAATCGTTGAATCATGTTGCGAACAAGTGTATAAAATCTCTGAATACATGAAGAGTATAAAAACAAGTTCGATGTGTGGATTCAATGAATGTAACTGAGTGTAATCAATTAGGATGATTATTTTGAACGTTTAGTGGGATAAAAATTTAATGCACTTGTTTCTATAGTTCTTTTTTTATTCTACTATCATCATTTTTTGTATACCTTAATATTTATAGACAGCTAGGCATAAAATGAGACGAGAAAAAAACAAGAAAAAAAAAAGAGAAGAACAAAAAAGGAACATCAAGAGAATATACATCAAAGGCAATATGTTATGTAATGTTACCGCGACATAGTATAATAAACAGCTGTTGTCGAAATTTGATTATTACAATATCAGTTAAGGAATGATCAAATATCAGAAATATGTAGACGAGTGTTTTTAATACTAGACCACATAGGAAGAAAGCTTCTGTATAAGACATTAAAATACCTTCACTACTACCTTTAGTATGTCGGAAGTATATATATTTATTTTAAGCATTTTATTAATATCTACTAAGACTTCTTATACAATGACATGGTTAACAGTCACAAAAGACGCTTGAATAATTCCAAAAAATTGCACTTTGTGATAATTAATGCGCTTCAACGATTATATCAGTGTTGTTTAAAAGTGTATAGCTCCTATTAGAGTAGTATTGAGTGAAATCATCACAATATAGTTAAGGAAGAAAGATAATTCATTTTTCTCCTTTGTTCTTCTGACAGGAAACGGAATCTAAATTCAAGGATTGACTTTTCACAATATTCTTTTTTTACCTGTTGCTAGACTAACAACAGTAAATGTTTGTTCATCAGTTTTTTCCAGAACAAAGCCAGCAAGAACTTTACAACCAATAAGTTCTAATAGCACACTAACACATAAATCTCGATATGTTGATAAAATTTTCGATGCAATATGATCAAACAATGTACAATCATGTCTTGTAGTAAATCTCTACAGAAAAAAAAGCTTTTTATTCTAAATAAAATAAGAACTATATAGTTTTACTTGAGACTGTCTTGCATCCAAGGATAATTGATAAAAAACCTTATAAGCTGCTTCTATACATGCTTCGCGTTTTGTTGATGCAAGAGCAGCTGAAAATTGTCGATCGTCAAGAAGAACAGCTACAGCGAAACTAAAAGTTTTAAAATAAAAAAAAAGACAAACAAAAGTAAAACATGAAAATAATTTAATTTAAATACTCACTTACATTGGCTGATGGCTTTGTCCAAATTGTGAAATCAATTGAAATGATAATTGTTTTCCATTTAATTGAGCATATTCATTCAAAAGTGAGAGAGAATTTTTAGATAGAATAGTTATTGACGGATCTGATTTAAAACCGAGTATAAAATCATCATAAGATTGTTCAACTGCTTGAATTTCATCATTGTCATTTGTTAATATTCTCGCCATCTAAATCATATAATTGAATAAATGGCATATTTTATTTTAGTTATACCTTATATATTCAAGGGTTAGTTGGAACAAACTCTTTTTGAGTTTCAAACTAAACAAAACCATTAAAAGTCTAAATCATATGCAGAACTTCCGCGTATAAGGAAGAAAAACATTCAGTGGCATTTCCGTTATGAAGCATTAGCTTAACAAAAAGCAATTATACTGTGCATTTATCTCAATAGAAGACAAACAAAGGTTTAGCAGATGCAATCAAAATTTTTTTTTCTTGACTTTTATATGTAACTACTATTTTCTAGAAAATAAAACAATTAAATACATACTTGTAAATCTGTTGGCATTTGATAAAGAATCTGAAGAAAATTTTTTGTTTAAAAACATTCTGTTTTTGCTTTAATGCAAGTGCATAGTATTCTGATTTGAAACTGTTAAAATGCTTTCTTTTAATGCAGAATAAGAGAAGCGAACAGAAAAGAAAAGAAAATCTAAATATTTTTATATGAGTATTTCCATCAACAAAAAAACCAACTAGTTTATATATATATATATATATAGAATACGTATATAGAAACAAACTTTGTCATTGGTAAACCGTTTCACCCAAACCACACTAAAGAATACATATATTCGAAGAAAAAAACAAAAATCAAAAAATGAAGTCCAACTGTTTGCTGGTACAGACTGTTATGCTAAATAGAGATTGATAACCAGAGAAGCGAATGCACAAAAGAGAAACAAAATTGTACAGTGTCTTCAACAACAGATCGATTGAGATAGAATACATATCAGAAAACTCAATGTCCATTATTGTTCGTATTTGTGGAATGAAAAATAGGGTTAAACTGTGGTGGACGGAGCCCAAAACAAAATAGAAGGAAAGAAAAATATTGCCTTTCACCGGAAGATAAAATAGAAGAAAAAAGAAAAAATTAATGTTTATTATTATTATTATCATCTTGAGATTTTTGATAAACTTCTCGGCAATTGCTTTTGTTGTTGGCCACTATTCGAACGATGTAAACTGGTGTAATCACCATCAGTTCGTACAGATAATCGATTCAAATAATATGGACGTTGATTTGATTCATTGTAATGATGTTGTGTATTTAAAATGCCATTATGAAAATGATCTTGTTCAAATATTCGTCTTCGATATTCTTCTTTGACACGTGCAGATTGTGAATAAAGTTTTTCAAATATTAAATGTAGATCATTCGGTCGAAATAATTTTATAAGTAATGCTTCGAAAACAATATATACAAATCGACGATTAAGAGTTTCATTTTGTAATAATTCAAATAAACGTAATAGACCACGACGTGTCGTTTCACTACCAATTATATGACGAAGTTCGTCTGAACCGAAAAAAACTAACATTGTCAAATCAAATATTTTCATTTACTTTTGTTACCTGAAACAATGCCAAGTAATTTTGCTTTGCAGAGGACTTGCGTTACATTGCGTACACTTGCATCACGTTCAGGTGCTTTATCAGCTAAAATACCATTAGGCCAAAAGTCATCTCTAATCAGAAGAAAATCTTTTTTTAATTATCAGAAAGTCTCTTTTTATTAATTCGATAATACTTGAAACGAGTAATTTCTTTAGCAATTTTTGGTGCTGATGTCCAATATTGAACAAACGTTGCAATACGTCTAATTACGAAAAAAAGGATTAGAAAAAAGAGATGTAATATGCAATAAAAAAAGTCTTTGGAGAAATATCGAACTCTGTTATACCATGTTGATGATTTCTAAATCAAGGAAATTGTTTTTTGTTCGAAAGAGCAATTTCTGAACTACACATATTGTACCAGATATATCTTTCCGGAACAACAAGTTGATGAGAAGGAAAAGCTAAAAATCAAACAATTCGACAAAGAGTTCTTGTAACTTCTCCATCGAGAAACAACATCTTTTATTGTCTATTAATTCTTTATAAACCAGAAGAAAGAATGCAAAAAAAACACATTTAATGCTACTTTTTGTAGCGTAAAGAGTAAATCTAAGAATTCGATTTGACTGGAATTGGATCGGATGCATCTCTATTTTGTGACATTAGAATCACCTGGTATTATTAGAATCATTCTACATCAACAAAATCACGATATGAACTGTTTCTTGCTTAAGCTTTCTTCTTAAAAAAAAGACTGAGTAAATCTGTCGTTTTTGCTACGTGGCCACTTTGCAATGGTAAAATTTTTCTTTTTTTGAACTATTTTCTCTGCTATATTTTTTAGACTTGTAATATTTTGAATACATAACGCTAAAAGAATTAAGCTCCTGCATAATTTCTAGAGTTGGCAGCTACTGTTCTGACAGGCTAATACTTCTTGTAAAAGATCGCATTTTACAAAAGATTTTTTGATTAAAGAGTCAGGATAAAATCTAACATACTTCTTCCCACTACTGATTTCAATAGATTTTTTGATGCGCTACATTTTGGCATACATTTGTTCCTATTTGATCCATTTTCCTCTTCATCAGGCTCTTTCTGGAAAAACATATGTGATACAAAATTTGTAGTTTAGACATAGCTCTTTCTAGCAAGAACAAACACTTTCTTGATTTACAAGTCGGCAATATGATATAACAGACTTTGATATTTTTCCAAAGACTTTTACATGGCCTATTAAACAAATAAAAATATATACCGGTTCACTGAATCACCCATAAATGCTCGCAAAAATCGTTTTAATATTGATACAAATCTTGAACGAAACCACATATTTTTTTGTTTAAGATCAAATACTTCATCCATGATAACAAGCAGAACCCGAAGTGGAATATTTTTGGCACTCTATAATTAACAACAACAACAACAACAAAATCGAATGTATTTATGTTACAGAAAAAAGGAAAGCTTTTATTTTACTTCAACTTGAGGTTCTTCAACAATAGGAAATGTTTGCATATCTCGTGTTAAATGAATGTTTGTTTGATTATAATTATTTGGATGTGTTCGAAAGAGTTTTCCTGCATTTTCAACAACACTATCCGATACAATTGTTAATCCATCACCCAATTTCGATACACCTCTAACAATACCAATTGATGCTTGCTTGAATGGGTTTACAATTGTGTCCATCTAAATAAATATTTTAAAAAATTAGTTTAAAAATAAGTACAAAAACAGCAAAAACCAAAAGAAAGAAGAACATATCGTGCAAAGCAACAAAAAAAAGGAAAAAGCTCTGTCTTGATGTGATATGTGCAAATGCAAAAAGGGAAATATTGCTATTCAAAAAGAAGAAATAAGTGCAAATGTAACCAACCGTAGATGTAATAAGATCCTATAAGAGAATGATAGATATTTCATTGGGAGAATTATAATAAGGATTTGCTTTTCAATATTTAACATCACAAAGAATAAAAACATGCCACATAAATATCAATGATCTTATCGAGCAAGATATTGTGTAATTATAAAAACAGAAAATATATGTATATATTCTTCATTTTACCTTGCGAATGAATTCTGTTTGTTCATGTTTCCATTGTTGATTTCTTAAAAATTTCAATACAAGTTCACCAATTTGTGGATGACTTTGAAGAACTCTTGTTTTCGTTAATATCTAAAAGAAAAATTTATTATTCGAATAAAAATTAACAAAAAAAAAAAAAAATGACAGATTATATTTACTGATAAATAATCATTCAATTCTTTTTGTCGTTTTAATCGTACTTCTGCACTTGTATTGTTAATTAAACTTTTATTAGGTAATCGAAGAAATTCACGTAAATCTGGATATCGTTTTTTTATTGCTATATCAAGATCATTAAATTCACTATAACGACGATATGTTATCCATTCACGTCTTAAATCATCAATATTATTGTTATGAACATGTAATGGTTTACAAGACACAGATATAACATAAATGGCATATTTTTCACCTTTTTCACAACATACACCTAAATAAAAATGTTTATTTAAAATTTTTAACAAAAAAAAAAAAAAGTTTATCTTCTACCAGAATCATTTATTTCTGTTGTAATTGAATAATTATTTATATTATCAAGCATGTCAGGTACAACAGCAGTTGTACTACCCGTACTTGTTCCCGGAGAAGAGGGAATATTTGAATTATGTTGTTGTTCAGCAAAATCAGTGAAGATATCATTGCTATTATTACTTGATACTGAAGCAGCATCTAATTTGAAACAAGACAAAACAAAAGATCAGAAAATAAAATAAAAACACAATATTTTCTTTCTGTTCAGAAAAATAAACCTGAATTATCATTTAAAGAATCAGTAGGATCAATTTCACTTAAAACTTTTAAATATTGTGATGTTGTTTTGAATTGTCCATAATATTTATCCGATGATAGAATTTCAAAAACCTTTTGATTAATAATTATTACTGAAATAAAACTTAAAAACAAAAAGAAAACATACTTTTGTTTGAAGTTCATCAAGTAGTGTTTCATTCAATGATTCTGTTTTTAAAATTTTTAATGTTTTTTGTATGAGATTTTCATCCATTGGTAATTTAAATGTTCCCTAAACATTTTTTTACAATAAAAATTTCATATTTTAAATTTTCCTAATAGACATTCACTTTATTTTTCTGTAAAATTAATCCAATTTTTAAATTCATAAATAAAAGTAGTTTAATCGTATTTACATTTTAATTCCCACAAGGATTTCACTGAAAGCTTCCTTATTATTATTTAATTTATTTAATGATGTTTTATTCTGTGACAGGACAGAAAGCGAAATGTTCTCTCGAGAAAATCGAACATCTTCATTCACTAAAAGCATCATATTGTTCTTTACGAATAAAAAATATCTATATAAAATAGATTATTTGATCAAATTAAGATCGAAGTTCTTTCGTTGCATCTATACTCATGGAAAAAAATAGTTATAGTCGGTAATTTGAATATATCAATAGCATACAGTGAAGTTTTCTACAGTATAATCAAATATTCTGATATCACTCAAAATTCTCTACAATCTTGCATATTTTTGGTTGAATTGCTGAAAAATATTTCGATTGTAGGAAAGATACCGTCATTTTCAGATTTTCATAAACTGTTTTCTTATGACGTTTTTGATTAAAATACACTGTCACTGCAGAAATACCTTTTTAAAAAAAAAAGTAATTATAAATTCGAATAATTAGGTACCCTCTGTAAGGTTTTCTATCTAGATAGTCTTGATTCACCATTATTTATTGATAAATATGTCAAATATTTTTTATTGCACTTATACTATAGTAGTGTTCCGAGAGAACAATTTTTTCTCGTCCGATTTACCGAAAAAATCGGTAACGGAAACAATACATTAGAAAATTGACATTCCCTAAATTCTTTATGTTGTATATATATAGATTTTTCAAGTTTTGCTCTTTCAAACAAAAAAAAAATGTAACATGTCGAAGTCAATAGGATGTTAGATGTTTAAAAATTTTCCATCATTTTTTAAATAAAAGAAAAATAATAAATATCTATCGATACAAATTTAGACAAGTTCATTTCTTATTCATTGAATTGTAATTCAATTATCATAATAATTATTCGGTTTGTGATTATCAATAACAAAGGACTATTATTCAGATGATCTCAATAGAACAATAGATTATCTTATTCATTTGAATATTTTCATTTTTCCATCAATGTTGTTGATGAGCTCGTAGATTTTTTCCTTTCTTTTCAATTGAAGAAGGAAATAATTCTCTTTATCTAGGGTTGATTAATTTGACATATAAACAATAATTGATTTATTTTGCTAAAATATACCTCTAATGATGTAATTTTATTCTTAGTTTAAGGCCATCTCAAGTGGCGAAAAGTACGACGTTGACAAAAGTTAGTGTCTGCTAATAATATATTTTCTCAAACACAAAAAAAATGAAATTATTATAGGAACTTTGACAGTATTATGTGAACAGAAATCGAGAAAAGTCATTTTCGTAGGACATAAACCCATAACCTCACATTATTCGAAACAATAGTCGAGACTGATAAGATGGAGGATGTTAGAGAATTTATTGCACTATTCGAATTCATAATTACTTTTTTTTAAACAAAAGTATTTCTATACTCAGAACATATTTTAATCAAAAAAAAACTTGGAAGAAAGCAATCTGTAGAAATCTGAAAATAAGGGTATCTTCATTGTAATCAGAATATTTTTCAGAAATTAAAATGCTATTCTAAAACTAAATACGTAAAGTTCTAGAGAACTCTGAATGTTATCAGAATATATGATTATTCTTTTAAAAACTTAATTTCATGCTGAAAATAGATTCAACATACCGACTGTAACTATTTGTTTTCAAGTGGATTTAAGCGATTGAAATTCAACAGAGTTATTCTAATTTGTTGTTTGATCATTTTGTTATATACAACCGTAAGGTTATAAGAAATTCAAAAATTATTTATTACTATAAATATTTTCCATTAGACGTCCAATAATCCAGTAAGCACAGTTTTTAAAAAACAAAAGTCACGTTGTCTTTCTGTTGTTCTTATTTAAATACTTTTTAAACTAGTCCATAGCAAATTTGAATCATTCTTTGAAAAAAATATATAAAAATTCTTACTGTTGGAAGAAAATATTGTTCAATAAGATCATAGGCCATATGTCTAAGTATTTCTAAATTAGCTTGATGTTGTTCATGAGTTGTATTTACATTTTGTTGTTGCACTGATAAACCAGCACATCGAAATGCCTAAAGAAAAGATAATTCATATGAAAAGAAAAATTTTCTTTTGAATTAATTTTATTTTTATACTTCGGCATTAAGATAAAAATTGGCGTAACCAGCAGCATCAATAGTTTGAAGAAATTCTATAGATAGAAATCACTCATTATTTACTTATCACAAGAAAAAAAAAAAAAGAGAAATTCAAAAAGTTTACTTAAAAAATAATCTAAACCATTACAGTTATTCAATATTTCTGTTAATGGTAAATCATGATAGGTCACTTTTTGTAAAATTTCATCATCATCCTGTACAAAAAAATAAAAAATCTAAACTAGTCTTATTTGAAATAAAACATACTAATGTCATTGTTTGTGCTTGTTTTTCTAATCGATCAGAGAGTAATTTTTTTAAATATTGATAACTATTTAATGTTGCACGAATATCTGCATCTAAAAAGCAAAACGTGAAAATTTATATTACGAAAAGACATTGAAAATAATGGAAATAACCATTTTCTCCTCCAGTATCTTTTGAACGCCATCGATTTATTTCAATACTTATTCGATCAGCTAATGTTGATAATTCAGCACTTGAATCAGTCGTTCGTGCAACAAGAAGAAAATTATCGATTGTTAATGGAAATTGTTGACACTAAACATAAAAGCTGTTAGTGCAATTCCTGTGAGATTAAAATATGAAACGTAATGTAGTTACTATTGTTAACAACAAGAAGATTGTTTTATTCTATCTAGTTTGAGACATGTTTCTTCACCATCCTTTTTACTTAATGCTACCCACCCTTTAATAAAGTCAATCTTTGTCAGAATTGTAGAGATTAAGATCAATATATGAGAAGATAGCTCGAGGCTTGATCTTTCATAAAATGACATCATTTTTTGTTCGGTATTGCTTCTTTTTTTTTCTACTACAATTTCTGATGATTTCTGTCATCATTTGCTTGAAAAATATGTTGTTTATGGTAAAAGCTGAATATATTTTTTATTTTTCTTTCTTTATATTTTTAAATTGCACATCCCCATTGTCTCGATCGGGCTTTATTATAGTTCATTGCTTTTATTTTTGATTGAACGAATATGTCAACATGAAATACATGACAGAGTCCATTTTTATAATTACACAGAAAATGACTTCTATAAATAGATGATAACTTCTTGAGAATTTTTCGAGACATTGAACTTTTTATCACTTTTCTCCGCATAACAAGTAAAAATTAAAAATAAAAGACATATACCAGGTGCTACAGTCGGATATGCTCTTTCAAATAAAGTAAAATTAAATCTAGAATATGAGGATGCACAGAGAATTTTGGGTTACTATATAAGCTAGTTGTGACCTTTGTTTTTAGAATATCTTCCGAAAACGTCATGGCATAGAGCCGAAAATTTTACCATTGTTTCTCCACTACAGCTCCAAAATATTCTGAAAATTTCATGATATTTCAATGCAGCTGATCTAACTACGAGGGACAAAACTAACACAACACGTATTTTTCATAGATATTTTCATTAATGCTCAACCACGAAAAAAAATAAGTTTTTCAGAAATTTTTTTTCGCCTATAGGACTTTGTAGAACTCGTTTCGCTGATCGTTTTGGTTAAAAAAAATATATTCAAATTTACTCAATAAATAACGGTATTATAGTCAAAATACTCAAAACTTGCGACTGTTCGTGACTACTGCTGAGTAGTAGGTGATATTTTTGAGTATTTGGAGCCAAAGATCGTTATTTATCGGGTAAATTTCAATCTTTTTTTTACCAAAATGATCAGTGAAACGAGTTCTACAAAGTCCTATAGACGAAAAAAAATTTCTGGAAAACTTATATTTTTCGTGGTTGACTATTAATGAAAATATCTATCAAAAATAGTGTTGCGTTAATTTTGTCCGTGGTAGTAAGATCAATTTTTGACGATAGATGTCTTAATCCTTCAGAAATATAATAAGTTATTCACATATTATAACTAGACATTATACTGATACAATCTGTGTTCGTATATCAACTGTGTCTGTCATAATTCATGTGGGAAGGTTCAATGTTTTATTCCTATATTTGAAAGTTTCCTTATAGACTGTTTCATAAAGTTCGAATCTTATATTATTGTTTTTCTTCTTCTTATAATTACCATTTTAATAATTAATTGATTGATGGCATCCGAATCTGTATACATATTAATAATAGGTATTAAACCAAGGTTAACTACGACTTCCTTGAAAGAAAAAACATAAGTAATATAATTAAATATTATCAAACAAGCAATATACTCTGAGTAACATTCGAGCTGGAACACAACGAAACTCATTAGCAGGTAATAAAATATAAATTAAAACTTCAACAATATCACGAAGAAATTCTAGAAAAAAAAAACCAAAGATTTACTTTTAATTAAATGAAATTGTATTACCTTTTTCTTTATCTTTATCCATACAAACTTCATCTCGACAAATTCCCCTTTCATACTCAGCTTCCAAATCGAAAAAGCATACTCGAATATCTGTTGATTGTTCTAATCGCATACGTTCTTTAGCTTTTCGATATAATCGAACATGTGTTGCAAAACTATCAACAACTGTTCCAGTACAAAAATCTAACCAATCTATTTCACGTAATCTAATCAACAAGGAAAACAAAAGACGTGATTCCTATTTAAAAAAATGCAAATTTTTAATTAATTAAACAACCTTTCAGCTAAATGTTGAATCGTTATATAAATTCCATTTTTAACATCACGAATAAATGATTCATCAGAACTTAACTGAGTTTTATACCAAACTTCAACATAATCACGTACAAATAAATCAATTGCCTATAAAATTTAATATTCAAAGACAAAAACAGAATTTCTACTTTGTTTTTTTACTTCATAAAGTTGTTCATCAATAACAGGTATTCCTGTCAGTGATACACGATCATTTAAACGTGACGGTGAGTCATTATCAACATCATTAATCTATTAAAATCGGAAGTGTAAAAAAAATATTCTTTTAGTTGTTGGAAATTTTACATGAGTAATTAATTTTCTTTTATTGAATGATGTTTTTATGGTTCTTTCTGTTAAACTTGATTCTAACCATTTTAATCTATGAATAATCAGATGAATTACAAACCTATAATTAAATAAAAAGTAATAATTAAAAAATTAAAGAAAGTTAATAGAAAATTTTCAACCGACCCGAATAAAAATGTGATGAAAAATAAAAACCAATAAATTGTTGTTTTAATTCCAATAATACCTCCTAATATCAAACAAGCACTGCCGATGATAAGATGTCTTGAAATCATCGACCGACATGCAAAATTAAAAGACAGAAAGAAAAAAACCCAATTTAATTATAGTATTTTGGTTTTTTTTTTTAATAGTAAACAAAAAAATTAATGAAATTGATTGGTTAATTTATCAAGCAATATAAATAAACTCTATAGATAGAGCTACATTCTTCTTGTATTTTTAGTGGATAGATAACAAAACTTATTCTTTTGCATCATATACAAATGGTAACTATAAATAATGATGACAATTCTGACAATGAAAATGTTTTAACTATTGATAAAATTAAATCATTATTTGATCGTTATAATCAAAAAGCAATTAAACAGAAAAACGTAAAAAAAAAATTAATTTCCTATGCAAAAACATCCGGTTTTATAAATAATATCTATCGAAAACAAGCATGGACTTTATTAGTTCATACATCACCTGATGATTATTCAACAGGTATAATAAATTTTTTCTATTTCTTTTTCGTTTATTTTAAATTATTAATAAATAGATAACGATCAAATTCAATCACATCAATATTATGAACAAATCAAAATGGATGTTATAAGAACATTAAAAAGATTCCCACCAAGTATACATATATATATATATATATTAAAAAATTATTTATCAAATTTTATTTTCATTTTTAAGATTATTCGGATTCTGAAAGAAGTCAATTACAAGATGAACTTATTCTTATTATAACAAAAATTTTAATTAAACACGAAGAATTACATTATTATCAAGTTAGTCATTAATATGAAATGTTTATATTTGATAAAATTTTTAATTTTCTTTAGGGTTATCATGATATTTCTTTAACATTTTTACTTGTACTTGGAGAAGATTCATGTCTTCCTGTGATCGATTCTATTACAATGTCTCATTTAAAGTAATGTTTATTTACCTTTTATTGTTCGAAAAGTAATTTATGATTCATAAGTGTTTGAAAGTTATTTAATTAGTTTAAGTGTTTGTATTTAAAAGGAATAAAGTTGAAGAGCGTAAAAAATATATTTGATCAATAACATGACTGTTAGAATATTAATAATTAACAAAGTATATCATCAAACAGAGTGCAGTGTTGAAAATATTTTTTTTTACAAAAGATAAAATAATTCAAGAAATTAAATTATAAATCTTACCAAGAGATTATTCGATGAGATTTGTCGGAGTATATTAATTCCTTGCTACATCTCAACAGAAGACCTCCCTGGAAGAAATGATGTGCTAGATGTAATAGAAGAGTGCTTCCTTCCCAGGTCATTAATTGAATTAAAGAAAATGCAACTTTTATATAATCGAGGTACATCAACGTATAACTAGTTTTCAGAGTTATTTGAAGCTGAAAATTTTAAAGACTTGAGTCAATGTTATTGATCGCAATTGAAAACTTCCTCAAAACCGTTTTAGTTTCTAGAGAAATTATGAAAATAAATGAGACATAATAGAAGATTCAGAATCTTCTATTATGAGAAGCAGATTACAAAAAAATAGAAAGCTAAAAATTGTTTGCCTAACAAGATGAAATTTTCTATCAAAAGATGCGAGTGCCTCAAACTTATCTAAAAAATGTTTTTCTAACGTCGTTAATAGAAGATTCTGATTAAGTATGTGACTGCTTCCAGTTCAATGAATCGTGAGAATTAGGTCAAAGAAAAAATTACTTTCTAGCGCTTCTGATGTGCATCGTCTATCAGTTCTCGTTCATATGACTGGAGTTTAGTAGTCAAAAGCAGCTCTGTTATTTAATCGACAACTGTCACACATCTAATTTGGACTTATTTTACAAAAACAGATTTGCTTTTTTACAAATATTTTATGAATTGAAAATAATAGATTATCATTATTGTTTTGATATTTTTTATTTGAATACTAATAAAAAAAAAAAAATCAGAGAAATTTAAAATACGAAATTATAACTGAAATTGCAATATTTCTATCTATACATAAACAGAAAAAAGAAAATATCAATTAGAACTATCACAGTCGAGAAAAGTATTAATGAATCTTTTCTCAATTCTGAAACGATTATGAAAGTCTTTGACGGCGCGAAATCATTTTAAGAAAGTATATTGTATATATTTTGTTTAATAAATAATTATACCTTTTCTTTATAGATATTTTATGGAACCAACAATGGAAAAAACACGTGATTCACTGTCATACTTAATACCACTTATTAATTGTATCAATAGCGAATGCGCAGAATATATACAAAGGTAGAAAAGATTGAATTACGACTTATAAAGTCAGTGCTTATCCTCGTTCTTGTATTTATAGAGGTGGTGTTGGACATGTTATATTTGCTCTACCATGGTTTATCACATGGTATTCACATGTATTAGATAATCTGTCTATAATTCTTCGACTTTATGATCTATTTATTGTTTCACATTTTCTTATGCCGATTTACGTTGCTGCTGAAGTAAAAAAAAAAAAAAAAACATAAATTTGCTTTTGAAAAACAAAAGAATGTCCTTTTGAAATTCAGATTGTAAATTATCATTCTGATGAAGTTTTATCAAAAAATTGTGAAATGGCATCATTACATCAATATTTATCTTCTTTACCTACTGAAATAGATGAAGATACATGGGAAGAAATTATTAAACGAGCTATATATCTATTTGAAAATCATCCTCCAGATACACTTGAGAGATTAAATAATGAATGGAAAATAAAATGGTAAATATTCTTTTAAAGAAAAAAAAACAAGAAAGAAATTTTCTTTTCAAAATATATTTAGTGAATATATTGAAAATTCTCCTAATGAGTCAACTATTCAACAACGTTTTGGTAGAAATAGCAATTATAATAGACAAATTTTGTCAAAATCATCAAGTACATTATCACGAATTGCTTTTTGGGGTGTCACATTAACAATCGGTGGCTTAGCTATTTATCTTTGGAATCAAACACAATTCATTGACTCAACTAAATTTATGAATTTGGGAGATTTTCTTACTCAATTGTATCGAACATAATAATATGCAAAAGTCTTTCTTTTACATTCCTATGCTGCAGTCGAACTTTTTATTTTAATTGTTTAAAGAGAAAAAAAAATCCTATTCATTTAACAGTTGAAATTTTCTTTTTGTAGATGAATTTTTATTCCATTTATTAGGTTAATGAACAATTGGTAACAAAAAACGTTGTAAGTTATTTAACTTAATCTGATGTTTTTATCTTGACTTTTATTCGAGAAAATATCATTATTCAACATGAATAATTTGATCTTAAATATCAATTATAACAAAATACATAGAATTAGTTATTGTAATAATCATTCTCATTATACGATTTTTTTTTTAGGAATTCTTTTTTCTTAATTACGGGATGCGTCAAGTTTTGAAAGTTTTAGAATGATTATAATTCGAACTATGTTTTTTTTCAATTAATCGAGTGACATATAGAGAAGCTTGATCATAAAATTAGAATATTCTTCTGTTGATTTATTTTATTTATACTTCAAAATAGAGATTTTAAAATAGATCAATGTATTTATAGTTAATATATCGGAAATATCACACTATTTGTATCCATACATCAAGTCTATTGTTATATTAACGATGCTTTGTGTTTTGAGACAAGTGACAGAAATAGATTTGATTAATTAAGATAGATCGATACCGACTGATAAGGAATAATATGAAAATAATCATATTATTATTTCTATCTTTAGTATGAACATCTGTTCATATCAAAGTAGAATGCCACCTTTAGATTATATTACATCTGTCAGAGTCTGATAAAGTTTAGTTTGTTGAGAATGAAAATTTTGAATTTGTTCTTATGAAGCTTAAAGAACGGTTCAGACGGCATCATATGAGTACATGTGCTCTATGAAATTATAGACTCATTCTATTACACATCATGAAATATATTGCTTTAATTATTAATATTTCTCTTTAGTTTATTATAAGAAGCCTATGACAGTTTTACTTTATATGTTCTATTCAAAAATTACAGTGTATTGGTAGAATCTGATGTAAATTACATATTAATTTTAAAAGTAAAGATTTTATTATTATTGTTTTTATCTTAAAGAAACTAATACACTTATTTCTTCGATTTGATAGATTCTCAATTACTGACACTTTTGGATAAAGTTGAATGTATACTACAACATTTTACTAGTATATTTTATATATGAATTTCAGAAGAAAAAAAGCTACATTCTTTGTCTTCTCATGTCGAAAAACAAAACCTATTTAAAATCATAGAAATCTTGTTTAAATTTATATTGTTTATAAAATACAACAAAACTTCTTTAATAAACTTATTCGATTTTATGAATCATATTTAACAAAAATTTATAAAATAAAATGATGATACTTCAAAAATACGAATAGATATTACAAGAAAACAGAATTTATTTTGGAAATTAAGTATAATTTGAATCATTTTTGTAATTCACTGTTTAAAGATTTGTTTGTTTTATGAGTTATTATATTTATTAAATATAAATTAAGATAAAAAATTTCTTATCATGTTTGATAAACATTTCATCTCTAATTCTTTCTCATTTAATCATATAATCCAAATGAAAACTACGTGATCAAACATAGTAGATCAATACTAATCTTGATTATTAATCATATGTTATAATTAAGAAAGAAATTCTTTTTTCTCATATTGATTTTCTTTGTTCTATCTTCTTTCGCATAATCTTCTGTGCTGTTATTATATGTAAGCTGAGCTCTATCTAAAGTCCGCTTTGTGTGCTTTATTAATCAGAGTAAAGTCAAGATAAAATTACATAACATATCCAAAGTTTCTATCGTACAAACTAATGAAATTTATAGAGTCAACAAATATTTTCTCAAAGAATAAAACTTACCATTTAAAAGAATTTGTTAGCAGGATAGTAGAAACGAACACAGAAAAACAGCTTATAGATTACATATTTGCATACAAACAATTATTAAGATCAAAAGCTTTAAACAACTCTTGATCTTTTGAAAAGACTTATGTCTTATTGGTCGATCAAAAGCAGTGATCAAATGATCTAGACTATTCATTCATGTGTTTATAAACAGCATGTATACAGACCTTTGTTATCTCATATTGTAATTTCTCAGCCATAATCAAATTTGCATGTTGTTCTATATTAAGAACTTTGAAGACTATCTCAAACAGATGATCTATAGAAGTCGAATTCTTCATATTAATTATGACCGAAAGATTCCAATACAAAATAACGCAAGATTGAATACCTGCTACTTATTAATACATGAATGAATGCACAAAAGCACTTGATCGCTGCTTAGGATAGACAAACAAGATCCAAATCTTTCATAAGAATAAAAGATTTTTGCAGTTTTTTACCTTTGTAATTATTTGTATAGGAAATTTATACAATGTTCTGTATATTAGACTCAACGATCGATGTATCAAAAAATTATAATATAAAATCAAATTTACTGAGTTAAAAATCTGTTAACTTTTGCATTTATCTTTAAATCAAGGTATTTATCAAAACCAAGTCTTAAAATATCTATGAAAAAATTGAATCTACACGATAGTATAAATTACTTTTTCTTCGTATTTTTCTTTTGAATTGAACAATGCTTTCTAATGATTTATGCTGATATATTATTAATCATTCTTGTCACACATCTCATATTAATTAAATATCTCATTTATTACTTATTCAGTCCAAGAAAAAATACAGCATAAAGAGAAAATCTAGTTTCATAAGATTCTAATAATCATCTTTTCTTTCGTTGTAGATTTTCATCGACAAACTATAAAACATGATTAATTAAAAAGAAAAAAACAAAATATCCATTATCTTTCTGTTTTTTTTTCTGTCTATATAATGAATTCATTTTCGTCTTATCATTCATCATCATCGTCATCATCATCTGATAAATTATTTAAACGTTTTCGTTTATGGAAACGTCAATATCTTCATGTTGTTATTTATACATCATTATTTTGGATATTTGTTGATGTTTTTTTTATAATGTTATTTTCTGATTGTACGAAACAAGTTGTTATACCATGTTCATCATCATCTGTAGGAAAAGAAAGTGATATAAATAACAATATGAATTTAATTCAAGATGATTTTAAACGACATCCAAAATTTAATTTTGATAAAAACAAAGAAAAGAATCAAACAATAGTTCACACAAATAATCTTTTAAATAAAAAAAAACTTGAAGAATCAAAAAAAAATAGCGGTAGTTTTATTGCTAAATGGTTTGGATCTGATTCAGGTTTGATGTTAATTTCAAATGAAAACAGAAAAAAAACGACAAGTTTTTATAATTGAAGGATCAAATCCATCACATTGGCCTGGTGAAGGTGGTCATGCTGTTGCTATACCATCGAATTTGAAAGATGAAGCTAAAAAACGTTTTGCAGAAAATCAATTTAATATTGTTGCATCTGATCTTATTGCTCTTAATCGATCAATTAATGATCAAAGATCATCCAAGTTTGTTTTATTATTTTTTTGTTGAAATTTAATGGTTTTTTTTTTTTTTTTTTCTTTTAAGATGTCGATCTCATGAATTTCCACCGGATTTACCAACAACATCAATTGTAATTGTATTTCATAATGAAGGAAATTCGACTTTATTACGAACATTAACAAGTATTGTTTCAAAGAGTCCAATTGAATATATTCATGAAATTATTATGGTTGATGATGCTAGTATTGCTAGAGGTTAATTTAAATTTATTTTTCTTTTATTTATTAAATTCATCTTTTTTTTTAATTTTTATAGAATATCTTAAAGATACATTAGAACAATTTGTTAAAGAGTTACCAGTTAAAGTTCATATTTTACGGAATAAAGAACGATTAGGTTTAATGAAATCTCGGTTAAAAGGTAAAAACAAAATAGAAAATAAAATAAATCAAGTTTTTCATATTTTGCTATTTTTTTTTAAAGGTGCTGACATAGCTACAGGTGATACATTAACTTTTCTTGATGCTCATATTGAATGTTCACCTGGATGGTTGCAATATTTATTATATGAAGTCAAAAAAGATAGGTAAGAAAGTTTTTTTAATTGATCAAATTTTATGAAGTCATTTTCTTCATTGAAAAAAATATTGAATAAGAATACATGAAGAATATAACTAAGATAAGATTGATTTGAATGAGTATTTGATAATATTATCGTATTGAGGGTAATCCTGTGCTTTTCTTGGGATCTAACGTTTTGTTTTTTTGGTTTTTTGTGGGCCTTATATTGTCTGCAGTAGTCTCTATCTACTGGTGGAAGAATTACCTCAACTGACATCCGTTGTTTGAGTTCGTATTGGACTCGCACAGATGTCTCAGTGAAAATAGCAAAAGTCTAAAAGGATTCGTTTTCAATGACTTGTTTTGCTCAGTTATAATTGGTTTATTGAATTTTTGACTCATTTTTAGATATTCTCCGAAAGACCAAATAACTGAATTTTGATTCAAAATTTTGCATGTAAATGGATCTAATGACTCTAGGAATATCTGAAAAGTTACAGTCGGAAAGAATGTTCCATTGTCGAGTTATTAAATTTTCAAGTGTACTTGATTTTTGTGCCAAAGGACTATTTTTAGAAATTTAATATACTTAAGAAGAAATATTTTTTCCAGTTGAAACTTTCAGAATATTCTAACAGTCATTAGATCTACCAATAGGCGAAATTTTAGATCGAAGTATGATCATTTGATTTATGTAAGCATTTTGATTAAAGTTTTAATTTTACGAGAAACCAATCAATGAAGGAAAAAAAATCTTCTAGTACGTGTAACGCAACAATCCTCGAAGAAACTCTTCTATTGCAAAGAGGAGTTTACTTTGAAAAGTTTTAATCTCATTCTACCATTCTATGATATGCCTTAGATGAGAATGAAATGTACTATTTATTTTTCTTTTCAGAAGTGCTGTTGTTTGTCCAATTATTGATGTGATCAATGATGATGACTTTGCTTATTTAACTGGTAGTGATATGACTTGGGTATATATTTATCTATGTGTATTTATTCAAGATAAACATTATTTTTTGTAAATTTAGGGTGGATTTAATTGGCGATTAAATTTTCGTTGGTATTCAGTACCAAATCGAGAAGAAATTCGTCGAAATTATGATCATTCATTACCTCTTTTGTAATATTAAAAAAATTTTTGTTTTTTGATTTTGTCAAATAATTTTTCTTATAATTAACATAGATCACCAACAATGGCTGGTGGTTTATTTACAATAAATCGTGAATATTTTTATGAAATTGGTGCTTATGATCCTGGTATGGAAGTATGGGGTGGTGAAAATTTAGAAATGTCATTTCGTGTTTGGCAATGTGGTGGAAAAGTTCTTATTCATCCTTGTAAGAAAATTGGAAAAAAAACTATATTTCACTAATACATTGTATATATTCTAGGCAGTCATGTTGGTCATGTATTTCGTAAACAAACTCCATATACATTCCCCGGTGGTACTGGAAAAGTTATTTTTCATAACAATAAACGTCTTGTTGAAGTATGGCTTGATAAATATAAAGATTTTGTTTATGCAATTATGCCTGGTTTGTATTTTATATTATAACAAAAGAAAAATAAGAAATTTTTCGTGAATTAATTTTTCACTAGAATTAAAAAATGTTGATGCTGGCGATGTATCTGAACGTCTTGCACTTCGTGAACGTCTTAAATGTAAAGATTTTCGTTGGTATTTACAAAATATTTATCCTGAAAGTTCAATGCCTGTTGATTTCCATCATGTTGGAGCCGTAAGTTTGTTTTTTTGTTTTCGAATTTTTAAATAATTTTTTAACGTTAATTTTAATTGAAATTATTTTGATATCTATTTATATTCTTTGCTCTTATCTCTCATACGAATAGTTAAAAAGTGAAACTCATGGTTGTGCCGATTCGCTCGGTCTCGACGGTGAAAATGGTATCAATCGCGATGCAGGCATTTATCCTTGTCACAATCAAGGTGGTAATCAGGTATGTATATAAATATATTTTCTTTTTTTCTACCGCATTTCAGATACATCTCGAGCCATAGTCTTGTTTAACTCTTCATTATGTGGACGGTAGTCAGAGTACGAATCGTAAGATTATACTAAGCATAGCAACTGATGTAAACCGAACGTGTTCACTCAAGACTATGGCTCATCAAGTGTGGAACAAAATGATAGTAATGCATGTTCGAAAAAAAATCGACCTATCTATAATTGCATGATGACCATTTTCGATACTTTTATAATTTTAATTGAGTGCAAACATACATTTTACTTTCTTTTTTTGATAATATGATTAACAGTCAAACAAGACGATAGCTGTTTAGACAAAATAATCGATGTTCAATAGAATACATGTGCAAATATCTTTGAATTCAATACAAATAAAATAGAATAGCGTCAATTTTAAGAAATCAATTGACAATGAAAAGTTGCTCAAAAATTTACATTTTATGGGTAAATTTACAGATAATGAAGGTTTCTTATCGTTTTAATGTCCTTCCAGTTTTTTATTATTTCACAAAATCTGATGTTTTATAATCTAATATGTACAATGAAGATTGCATAAAATTATTGTCTTCTAGTCGAATTGTTTGCGAATAAAATGTCGAAGATATGTAGAATGAAAGAGCTCGTTGAATTAACTATATTTAATGATGAAATATTCTGCTTCAGAAAAACTTTGGGTTTTGAACTGAACAGAAATCTGCATAATCATGCTTTAATAGCATATTTCGCAGTATTCAACAATCGATTCGGCTAGCTCTTTCTATTTGTATTCGACATTTGAGATTTTCAAATAAAGTTTTGACAGACTAGCAAATCATCTTAGAAAGTCTAGTCCTTTTTTTTTACGGGCTACGTAGAAAGATTCGAAAAAAATGTTGTCTAAAAAATGAAAGACTGATATGACTTCATTGAATCATAGTAATTTCTCAAAAGTTCATAAGTGATTGTTGAGTCTCGAGTCACGATGGAATTTTTCAGGTTACCTCCTTCTGATTTTAACGATTTTTTTCCCCGTAAATAGTACATAGTGTTCAAATAAATATGCTAAAAGGATTTAGGAACTTGATTATTTTTCAGAAGCCACAAACTTTTAGATAACTCATTCTTCGCATTTTTATCTGAAACTTTGTATATGTACAGAAGTCGACTAGACTAGTTCCTTTTTAAAAAATCAACAGTTTTAAACAAAGCCTCTTCGAGACATCAGACTTTCAAGATATAGATCCTTATCCATGAATAGTGTATACAGCATACATTTTTTGAAAGCGTCATATCTCGAAGACACTTTGTTTAACACTTATGAATGACATTATGGAAGCTAGTTCAATCAAGTTCTCAATATGCGCAAGTTTTCAGATCAAAATTCGATAGCTTAGTCAAATATTTTAGTCTTTTTAGGGTTTTTATTAGAACTTTACGTAGTATCTATAAGCACAAAAACCATTGAAATCTGAAGATGCCAACTGAAGAGGTTTCTTTGTATCAGTTGTATTTATTTTTTAATTTTATATATTTTTGCCGGGCATTCACTACAAGTTGCACATTTCATTCACCATAACTGCTAGACAAAAACTTGTTCATATATGAATTAATTGATTTTTCTATAGGTTGTGGTTTATTCGAAAAAAGGTGAACTACGATTTGATGATCTGTGTATGGAAGGAAGCAAAAATAGTGTTGTAAAATTACAGAAATGTTTCGAAGGAAATCAAAAGCAAATATGGAATTATAATAATGAAGTAACTTTCTTTTGATTTAAAAATCAAAGAAAATTTCTCTTTTTAGACAAAACACATAAAACATGTTTATTCTGGCCAATGTATGACTCTAGACCAGAGTAAAGATAATGGTAAAATTCTTCTCAGTAAGTGAGACGTACGAAGAATAAATTGATAATATAACATGAAGTAATTTTAGGTCCATGTGACGAACAATACAATACAAATCAACGGTGGCATCTAGAACACGCAATGTTAACTTAGTTTCAAGTGGAATTTCTTTTCTTTTTTTTTGTTTGAGAATGATACGCATTTTTTTTAAATTTTTAATCAAATCATACTTTTACTCATTTGCTTAAAGAATCTGTTTGTTCAAAAGTGCTCGCCTTTCTATCATAATTACACATTCCACATTTGTTTCGAATAGGTTTTTTTTTAAGAAAAAAAAAAGAAAGAGCATATGTTAATCATATTACCTAGTCGAGTTATCTATTATTTGTTATAAAATAACTCTTAACATTGCAATAAATACATCGAACGAAGAGAAAAAGAAATGAAAATCAACAAATTTATTAATTTTTTTTCTTATCATATGAAAATGCTGCTATTGTTATTGTTTTTCTTTCTTTTTGTTCGCTTCTTCTTCTGTGCTCATATGGTGAGAAAGATAAATTTTCACTTTCATTTTCTTTTTGTTTACTTTCCTTTTCATGTGTTTACCTTTGTTGGCTATCAAGTTTTCTTTTTTTTTTTAATTTAATGCTCTTGTTTTTCTTCGTGTTCTTGTAATGATTTTTGGCAAAATATATATTTATTGGAAAACAACTGATACACACATTACTGAAACTAGTTGTCATTCTCATAAAACAGCAATAATGAATTATTATTTGTATAGAAAATGATGTTCGAATGAGTGTTGTCATTAATTCAAGAAACAGAATATCTAGAAGATACTCAACAATGAAGAAAATACTAAAGATGAGAATTAGGAAAAGCTAGATGGTATAGTCTTCTGAATTGGTATATTTGAAAATACATATCTTCTCAATGAATCTTGACTTAAAACGAATCATGTCTTAGTTTTAGCATAGAATCATTCAGAGCAATAAGTGATGAATCTCTTTTCTTGACGATGAGATACTATCGACATCATCACTATAATCAAAATAGTTTTATGCTTTGATTTATACGTTTAAGTATCATCTGTTTTGAATAGCACGAATAAAATATTAATCAAGATAAAATAACAACCATTGAATGGTTATTTTTTCTTAAGCGAACATTCTGTCGGACAATATCTTAATATAAATGAATTTCCAGATATTTTTGATCTTTTGTTAGGATAATTTTGGCTTGGTCTCTAGCCATACTTTATGTTATTTTCTGCTTTCTCTATCATATTATGTATAGCTATATTAAAACTTCTTAGAGTAGCTTTTCTAATTATCTAAATTATGTTTTAATTTTGTAGTTGTTACTACATATTTGTCGCTACGTAGAAAGAGATGTATATTATTTGTGTTTGTAGTTCTATGATATGTTTGGTCGTCATCGTTACATTCCAATAAATTTCGTATCCTTTATCTGTTAGTGTTTATTTTAAAAATGCACAAGTAAATTATAAACATTGTCACAGACTATATCAACACACTTCTGGGTAGAAAAATTGTTTGACTTAATGTGTCGCTATGATATTGTAACTACTACTTCGATAGAACACTCGAATTGCATTTATGCCAGACTTTGGAAAAACATTTAATTCTCGTAATCTAAATTTTTTTCCTTTTTTATAAAGATGAAGAAATCACTTTTCATTTTCATTTTATTAGTTTACACTGTATTGATTACTGATAATGCAGAAAAATGTGACAAAGTAGGCAAAGAATAAGATTTGAAATCTTATACATCTGATCAAATTTCGCAAAACATTTGATGATTGTAAATGCAATATGATTTAAATTCTTATATAATACTATCAATGACGGAAAAAGACTGTAAAACTATATTGTTTGTTCAAAAAAAGATACATAATACTAAATTAATCATTAATTATCTTTTGCAGCATAAACAAAGAACACTTAATACTGTCGATCATGTTCAAAATGAAGATTTCGATGATACTAGTATTGTATTATCAAATTCTGCCTAATATTTAAACCCTAAATCATGAAAAACTATTTGAACAACAGATGTCCATTTATTAGACATGTATTGGTTCTCTTATCCTTACACATGGTCCTTTGTGTTGTCAATAAGATAGTTTCTTTTCCAATCAAAAATGAAAAACAATATTCTTGTGTCTTTGTTACAGTTATGTGCTTTAATAAAATGAGCATCAGATTACATCTTCTTTTTCACGATGTTAATACTCTTTCTTACATCTTGAAGATCAGGATGATCAGGAGGCAGTGATCGTTGTTGAATTTCAAGAGCACGTTCATAAGATTCAAGTGCTCTCGAGTAATCACCCTTGTTTCTATAAACCCAACCTATATTGTTGTAAGCAGCAGCTAAATCAGTATGATCTGAAGGAAGCGTTTTTTGATAGATTTCTAATGCTTTTTCATGAAATGAAAGCGCCTCCGAATAGTTGCCCATGTTATCATAAACCATACCAATATTATTGTAGGAAGCAGCTAAATTAGGATGATTTGAGGGAAGATTTTTTTGGTCAATTTTTAGTACTTTTTCATGAAATGAAAGAGCCTTCGAATAATCACCCATCTTATCATACACCAAACCAATATTGCTGTAAGAAGCAGCTAATCGAGTGTCCGTCGGAGAGAGAATTTTCTCAAGGATATTACTTGATTGTTGATAATAGGCAATGGCCTCTTGATATTCACCTTGGTTCTCCTTGACCAATCCTAGCTGGTTATAAATATCTGCTTTTTCACGATCGTTTGTTGTTTGATCAAGCAAGATATTATACAAATCTTGAGCTTTATTGAAATCTTCCTGTTTAATTAGGCACATACCCAAACGATCCCATCCTTTTGCGTTAGGATTAGTATTCTTGTGTATCTGTTCAGTCAGTACTTGCAATTCCGGATCTTCATCACTGACTAGCGTAAGATCTACTCGCCAAAGACGATCATTGTCCATTTGTTGGATTTTACCGATACGAAATATGGAATGGATGGAGAAGAGAATTTCTTCTTCTTCAAAATAACTGACGTCACGTACATTAGCAAATGGCGTAGATACGATGGACGGTTCAATTTTCATGACAAATAAGACACCAACAAGATCGGATGTTCTAATAGTTTGACGAATAAAATTGAACGATACTTCACGATCCGTACTAGTCGATAAGAAATTATTAAATGATAAAAGTCCATTTTTTGTTTTGTTCAATTGATCAAAGTTTGTCTCTGACAAACATTGACCATGATAGACAATAAATGATTTCGAACGTGCATGCCCAGCATATTGTTCCTGATGAAGTTTAGCGATATGATTATGAAGGTCTCGAATAAAAAACCCCATGCTAATGATAAGATCGACCTCCATCATCCGTAATGATCGATTGAGTATCGAATAAAGAAAACTTTGTTGAGTATACCACCAAATCGGAGGATGATCGTGATATTCATGTGTCAGTTTATCGACAGCTTGAAGCGCTTTCGGGTTCTCGGCAAAAATATTGCGACAGTATGTAATAAAGTCATTAAAATCTTGCTGTTCGAAATTTATCGTTAATAAAATTTCTTTTATTATTTGTGTATACATGAACAACGAATCCAATTGTTTTAGGTTTTGTCTCGCAGTTCCATAACTAGTCGTGACAAAACTGATTGAAATCAAGTTTTTGTCACAGTCAAGCACTGCCTGTTTAAGGGCTTTACAGATAGGTATAATATCTGTAAAGACACCTTTTATTTTCGGCCAATGTTTGGCCCATTGTTCATGCCGAGCTTGATTTCCACAAAAAATATAAATAGTATTTACTTGAGGCAAATCATGCACGATAGGAACTGTGGTTTGTCCCAATGAACCAGAAGCAATCATAAACGCTTGTTCTTCCTTGACATTTTTGACAAAACGTACACATTCATCGACATCCGTAAATGGATTGATCATGTCAACTATTTTTTTTAATTTTGACATTGTCATTTTACATTCATCATTATTCTCTAGATCAATATTGCTGTCGAGCCAGACTAACAAAAAATTTTGAGTCATATGTACATGAAATTCTCGTCGTGGTCTTCTGCTGATATGTTTATCTGAAGCGGCAGCATCTGATGACTTTGTTGTCAACTTTTTTTTTCTGTCATCCATAATATACTTTTATTGAATTGACGAAATCAGTAGTGAAAAGAAAATGAAAAAAAGACGCGTGTATTTATTCGCTCGCGAAGTTTCCTAGTAACCAACCACCAAAAGAAGAAAAAATTTTGATGTAATGCTGTTGCTTTAATCGTTGCCTACCTGAGAAAAAAAAACTGTCATGCATTCAATGTTACTTTCTTTTTCTTTCTCGACTTTTTTTTACGAGCTTCTCTTTCTCTTTGGTTTCATATATGCTGGTGTGCATTGAAATCAAAAGGTTACATTTGTCGCTTCATTTTATACACATTGAAAAGAATGAGAAAAAGTGTCCATTGTATTGAGCAAAAGTTTGTCAAGGATTCATATATACTTCTTTTACAATAGATAACATAAAAAGACTTTTTTGCTGTCATACTATGATGCAAAATTATTCAGAGGCATAAAAGCACACCTGTCTTTTCATACAAAATTTATGATAACTATTCATATTGTACTTTGATCCTATTCAAGAATTCGCTTGAAGAACGAAAAAAGAAAGAAAAATGATAAAGATATTGTTGTTACAGCTTTCAACAGATTCTTATCAGTATCAATATGTGCACTAACTGTTATGCGTCGTTTTCAACAAAATGTAAAATAACTTCACTTTTTCTCTTTCCTCTGGCTTCGATGCATAGCTCAATATAAGCGTAGATGTTTGCTTCACCTTTAAAAGTTTGAAGCATCAATATGAAGTCCACGTCGCACGCTATGGTGAGCTCTCACATATTGATTTAGTACAAAGTTTTCTGCCTCAGCAACTAGACTGTATACGAAGCCTCCAAGTCTCGATCTCACTGCATGTAACAAATTCAGAACTTTGTGTTCACCTTGTGACCAAACTCAGAACGAAATACGCTTGATAAAACATTTTAGACGAAAAATGACAAGCTTGTAACAAAAGATATCTGTGGTACTATTAGGACACAATTCTTCAATGCTGGGAAACATTTCTCATTTTTCGTATATTTCTAATACTTTCTAAAATTCGATGATGCAATTATAGTTCAAGTATTGTTTAATTATTATTGTTATTAAAGAATGCAGCTCATGGATTACTAAAAATATACAAAATAATTGCTTGAAAATCAGATTTTGCTATAATACATTAAGAAAAACATGAAATTTTGAATGATTAAGTGGACATTGATATTAATATATTTCAATGTTATTGATTAAATCGAATATTTTAATTGAATATATACAAGTAACTTGATTTTTAGTTAACATCATAGTAATATATTGATGAAAATGTCCGTTTCGTCATGCAAAGTTTCATTTTTTTTCTATTTTCAATCTAAAGTAATGAAGTCTAATCTATTTTTGTTTGGATTGTCATGTCCTAGAACGCTGTTCATTTTTTTCTTTTTCTTAAACGTACAAAATCAATTATCTTTTTGCATCGACGTTGAACAGTAAATTATTCATTTATATTTGAACTCATATCCGAGATCTCATATAATATAATATTGTATTTTTTTCGAAGTTTTCATAGGTCACAAGAAAAGAATATGTTGTTCTAATTCTACAATCAGCCAATTAGTAAATGACGAGAAAAGTTTCCATATTAAATATTTTTCACATTATTCTGAAAAAAAAATTCGTCGAAAAAAACTACTATAGGTGCATCATGTAAAAAGAAAAGTACAATAAATAAACTAAAACAATTTTAACAAACCATGTAAGAGCTCTTAAATTTGGCATAGTTATATAGCACATCATCGATGTTGTATTGTACAGAATAAGAAATATTAACATAGACAGCTATTCTTCTATTCTTTCTTTAACATGTTTGATTATTCTTGACAAATATTGAACTATTAGATCAATGGATGTTTAAAGTAAAACTTAATAAATAAATTTCATTTCATTTCCTGAAGACATGTTAGAAAGTTGTTAACTCATTTCAGTATTAGACTACGCATCGAAAAAATACAAAAAAAAATTCAAGTGTACTTATTGAATTTATTTATTTAAAGATTTCACTTAATTATATATTCCAAAGCATTTGCTCAATAAATAAGTAATGGAAAATTTTTGTATCATATCACGAGATATGATCAGATTGAAAACATTGTGTGGCGGCTAAAATAGTTTTATGAAGAATTTTAAAGATATAACATAACTCTAATGTTGCTCTTCAATAATTTAATTTCTGGACATCTTTACTACAGAAGGAGATTTTTTTCTTTTGAACTACTTCACACAATAAAATAGTATCACTGGAAAAAGTATTCTAGCATCAGATAGATTTCGTTCTGATGAAAACATAAAATTTTCTATTATCAACAATTCTATTCTGCATTAAATAATTATTAGATAGACAAATAATTGTTTCAATGAATACAATAATATTCATGAATTTTATTAAACTCTTTTTGTTTTGCTTGCTTATTGATTTAAAGAATAGTTAAAGCAGAGCTTTTTATGTTATGATCTAAATGAGTTTATCATTGCATCCACTAATATAAGATTTACTAATAAATAATAGTAAAATAAATGGTGGAAAACTTGCCGAAAACTATTTAAATATATTTGTATACTATGAAATCTAGATATAGAAATAGTATAATATGATGTAATATAGATGATGTGATATAGAATCAAAAGAATGTTCAATTTCGTTTTGGTTTTTCGTTTGTTACATATGTTACAGTATTTTTTGCAAAACAACAGAAAGACGAATGAACGACTATTCATCGATTTAACTTTTGTTTTTTTAATGTGATACATTCGATCGACTATTGAAAATTTCTGCCATTTTTGGACTGTTTTTACACGTCTTGACAATCTTATTCTAACCATGAATGATTATTAAAAGACTTTGCCTTTAATTGAAGATTATTGTCTGCGACATCATGAAAGAACCAATATGTTCATGTTAACTGATTTCCAACGAAAGAATGCATCATTATTATCATAATGTTTACTGAAAATTTCGAAGCTCCGTAAGCACTTTCGCAATTCTTCAAAGAAGATTTTTTCGTAAGTTTTTACTTTTTGATTCTATCCAGTTTCTAAGGAATTCGTCTATATGTCTTTATAAAATCATCAATTGTATCAATAACAGCATCAACTTTGGCTTGTTTAACCCTTTGAGGACCGACTTTTTTTTTTTAATAAAAGAAATAAAGCTGTAGCGTCAGAATAAGTTATAACCTGAAAAGTATTAACTATCATAATTATAATACTTGTTCTTGCTGCAACGACACAAATAGAGAACTTTGAGATAGAAAAAGAAATAAAACATTCGAAGAATCTACTCTAACAAATCGAAAGACTTTCGTTTCTACTAGAATTTTCAAAGCCGTATATATACGACCACGATCCTCAAAGGGTTAAAATTATCTTGTTCATAGTCAATTACAACTATTTAGTAAGAAAACGAGCCATACATATGGGGGTAGTCATTTTATATCAGCAAATTTGAAAACTGATATTTGATCAAAAGACATTACACCTTCATGTTATGATTATGTAGTACTTTCCTGATGAATATCTTCGAAATTTGGTTAAGCAGCACTACAACGAAAGCGAGATGGTTTAATACGACTAAATCCATTAAAATAGTAATGTTGACACAGATATTGTTTGAATAGATGTAATATTGTCAGAGAAATAGAAAAAGATTATTAGTCAACAGTAGTGTTGATAGATTTGTCTTAATCTTACGATCTATTATCAAAAAATAACGCTCAAAGCTGGAAATCAGTTGCAGTACTTCTTTCACGAGAAAGAAGTTTCTTATTGATTAACTTTAATCATTGTGATTCATATTTGAATATGTCATTCATCATTTTCAATAATTCTTGACATCACTAAAACAATACTGGTAAAATTCAGTTTTGTTTACGATTGTAAGTTTTTGTATTTTCTATTTTTCAAAAATTTTGCACAAAATTAAATCGAATAGAAGTTCAACAAGATGAGAAATATTCTTTAAATTTTAATCTGAAAAATGAGTGATGAAATATGTTACACTTAAAGATCAGATTTTTATGCATTAGCATCTGTAGATTGTAACACTAGCTGTATTACAAAACCAAACACTAATAATCAACTTCAACAACGTAATTTCTTTGTCTAATAGAGATCAATATTTATTTCTTTGAATTTGTATGCTTAAGTTCGAGGGCTGAAAAAAACACACGATAACGATTGTATATTGATCGCATTATAACAACGTAGAATAACATCGCTTTGCAGAAAGTTTAAGTCATTGACACGTTCTATGTTATAAGAGTAAAAAAAGAACACATATTTCACCATGTAACAAAGTCTTTGTTAGATCTTGAGGTAATTACGATTTTTAAAATATTTTTTCCATAGGTATCTAGCGTACTCAAAAACACTAGCAGCAATATTTCTTGTATACTCAGTGACCCTCATCTTTCTTTCTTCATTTTAACTGGATGTACATGAATTACTGTATAAAGAAAAAGAAAAAGAATGCGATAATCAGATGCGTACTCGTTTAACCTCTGCAAACATATGTCGTTTTGTGTTTTTTTCTTAGTTTTATTCATATTTCTAGATTTCAAAAGATCATGAATACTGTGAAAGAAGCTATTAACACGTTTCTTGGTCGCAAACCTTCTGGACCGAAAGTTCGATATGGTGTTGTAGCTGCTGGATGGATCAGTCAAAGTTCATTTATGCCAGGAGTGGGACAAACATCGAATTCAGGTAAAATAATTTCTTCATGTTTTACTTACATGAAACGACAATATTTGAATTCTTATTTTGTTCATTCTAGTATTAACTGTACTAATTAGTGATGATGCAGAAAAACGTGACAAACTAGGCAAAGAGTATAATTTGAAATCATATAGTTATGATCAATTTTCGCAAGCACTTGAAGATGGTCATTGTGATGCATTTTATATTGCTACACCAAACAATCAACATCGACAATTTGCTGTTCAAGCTCTTGAAAAAGGTTTCTATAAACTTGTTTTATATCATATTTGTTTATCGTATAGATTATTAGGTTATCATGTATTACTTGAAAAACCAATGGAGGTTACAGAAGAAAATTGTGAAGCTATATTAGCTGCTCAAAAAAAAACTGGTGCTAAATTAATGATTGCTTATCGTCTTCATCATGAACCAGGAACACTTGATGTTATTGATCGTGTTCGAAAAGGAGATTTTGGTGATCTTCGTATATTTTCATCAGTTTTTACTCAACTTGTGAAACCTGAAAATCATCGTGCTAAACAAGATAAATATTTGTTTAAGCAGAAAAATATTTTTATTGAAAAGATGACAGTCAGAATAAATATCTTTCAACAGAGACATTGATATATAGGTTTTGATGCTGGTCCGATTCCAGACATGGGTCCGTATCCAATTAATGCTGCTCGAAATATTTTTGGTATGGAACCGATTGAAGTAACTGCTATTGGATTTAAAACTCCTGGACGTGAATTTTTGCAAATGGAATATGATACAATTAATGTAACACTGCGATTTCCTGGTGAACGTATGGCTCAATTTGTTGTTGGTTATTCTGCAGCCAATACTAATTGTTACAAAGTTGTTGGTACCAAAGGTATAAAATTTTAAAGTACATTAATTTTTTTTTATCAAATTATCGTTCTTCTTAATATTTGTTTGCAGAAAAATTTTTAATTAGAAATTTAATTTATGGGTTGAATCTTTTAGTCTAAGAAATGAAAAAATAAACAATACTTTAATTCTTTTTTTTTAGGTGATATTGAAGTAAATCCTGCTTTTGCGTGGGGTCATGGTATGAATATTGCTTATAAAACAAAAATTGATGGCAAAGAAGATTCAAAATGTTTTCCAGAAACAGATCATTTCGGTGGTCAAACAGAATATTTTTCTGAATGTATTTTACAGAATAGTGATCCAGAAGCTGATGGTGAAGAAGGTTTACTTGATGTACGAGTAATTGTTGCAATAAAAAAATCACTCGAAGAAAATGGAAAAACCATTAAACTTGAAGCACGCGATCGTAAAAAGCGACCAACATTAGATCAAGCAAAAAAGTTACCGTTAGCTACAGGACCAAAAAATTTTATTGGTCGAGATTCACAACCGCCGTCTACAGGCTAAAGTGTAATTTATAGTAATGAGTTTTTCTTTGAAAACTATATTTAATTTATTTTACGAGATTTTGAAACTACTATTTTAATAAACAAGCACTAGCGGATGATTTTACATATTTAATTCTAATGCAATAATGATTTCTAAGAGAAAGCTTTCACTAAGAAAATAAATTTAAATTCGAACTTACTGATTGTAATTATGTATCTATGTATTATGATTAATACATGTTGAATGGAAGAAATGACCTTTCTAAGTTCTATTGTCATTATAGATGAAAAATGAAAATTTCTTTAGAATGATAATCATTAAGTTTCATGTCGACAACGTTTGCTTTTTACCTTTGTTTAATATACATTTCTCATAAGAAAAATTAAACTTAAAACAAGGATTGGTATGGACAAAAAAATACATGTATTTGTTTCATCTGCAGTACATGATCCACATTACCAGCAAGGACCGTTCACAACTTATTTACATGGAAATGGACAGATACATCCTACGTGGTGAGCTTACATTTATCGTAAAGAAATTTTCATTAGTTTATACTTCTCAATATATCTGATAGTTACTTCTTTAGTTAGCAAATAAATTTTATCAATTTCTGTTTTGTTCACTCAAAAAAAAGAAATAGAAATTCTAGCAAAAATGACTAGACGAAAAAAACATTTCACATTTAAATGTTTATTAATTTTATAGACTTTGGTAATATTTTCTTTCATCCGATGTAGTCAAACATGAATTTTCATGTTAATAGTATAGTTAATATGAAAATACTAAGATTCTCACGATCTACCTATTTTAATTTAGTTTTGCCATATCTCGGTATGATATCAAATAAAATTTTAAATGACACTTATATCGTATTAAAAAAACGAGTGAATAGACTTTAGATTTCGTAAAAATGTGTTATCTAGTTAACCTTATATGGCTTCGCTTAGGTCATATAAGATAATCACACAAACAAAATGTATCTTCAATAGAAATATTCTAAAATTGAGTTTTTGCGTATAATTGGAATATTCCTTTCCAATATAAAAGTTTAATACGTAGTTTTCTCTTTGCCCGCTGACTCAATTTATATCTATCCGTATCAAATACCATTCTCATTGTATGTCACATCTTTCTTACTCATTTAAGACCCATTCATGCATAAGTCATATATTGATATGTGTACAGGTTGTTTTAAGTATTCAATTCAAATGAGTAACATTGTCGTCGAGAGCATGCGTGCAGCCTACATTTCATCAAGTAAAAAGAAAGAACGGATAAATTTTCTCAGCAAGCAAATCGTGTACACCGAAAAAAAAACTTTCTTTTTTTGACTCACAATTTCTATTGTTGCCGTTTGTAAAACAAAAATGGCACGGTTTTGAAACAAAAAATACATTCATTGTGTTATTTATTTTTATCAAAACATGTATAAAGCTATTTCTTTTTAAAATGTCTACTAATAGCATAGTACACGATAATATTTCGACCCCAATTGATCCAGATCCAAAATTAGTATCTCAATCTACCGAAAAACCAAATTGTTGTCAATCATTTATTAATTCTTCATGTTTTAAATATACAAAAATAATCCTAATTATAATCTATGCACTTAATATTGTGGCATGGGGTGGAATGTTATTTCTCATATTAGTAGGTGCTGCAAACAAAACAATGTCTGATGAACAAACACGTAAAATTTGGATTGAGATTGATTCTCAAATTCTTAATGCACTCTTCTGTGTAACGGGTATTGGTCTTATTCCTTGGCGAGTACGTGATCTTTATCAACTTTATAGTAAAAAACATCAACATAAACTTCTTCAGCGTCATTCATATACAACAAATATTTTATGGATTCGAATTGTTGTTTGGACTTTTATAGCAAATTCTTTATTTCAAATTGGTATGGCTGTATGTATGTGGTCAATGGATATGAATACAAGACCTGCATGGTTAGTAGGCATGTTTGTTGGACTTGGATGTTGTTCAGGAGTATTCGCAGGTTTAGTACAATATATATTAGGAAGAAAAACAAAAAAACAAAAACTTGAACAAGAACGTACTGGTATTTTCAATAGTTGATGTATTTTACATATTAACTATTTGTAAATAACAAAAGTAGATTATTAAAACGTTGTTTCAAACATTGAATTATCATTATGAATTTAGTGTTATTCAATACTTCGGAAAATGTTTCAATTGTTTAAAACAGATTATGAAAAATTATTCAACTTATAAATAAATCTAAATTAGATTTATAAATATTCAAACAATAAAACAATCAAGCTGTTATTATGAAAAAAATTAGTAGTCTATAGAATCTCTCTCTCTCTGTTTCTCTCATTCTCTCTATGTATGTATTTTATTTTCAATCATCTTTTTGATGTGAGAAATAAAAGATCGATCTGATGATATAAACATAAGTATATATTTTATAAAGTATTGAAAAAGATTTGCAACGTAAAAAATATACAGGTATGCTATTTAATATAACAATCTATCGTATTCATGATTTTTAATTTCACTGATTGTAATGATATTGGCATCAAAATACGAAGAAATGATTCTGATCATTATAAATAGTGCGAACATATTTGATGTATATTAAAAAAGCTCGTTGCTTTTCGTATTCTCATTTGTACCTCATTATTATTGTATTAAGATCTCTAATGCGAAGTCTAAAACAATAATAAAAACAGTGTCCACCTACACTATTTCTTTTTTGCCGAAGTTTTTTCTTTCATCATACAATAAGCATTTTTTATAATTACTTTTTCTTTTTGCTCGTATACACTTGACTTTTATATATTGGTATTCATTCAAAATAAAATCGATCAACTTATTTGATTGTCATCAATCAAATGATGTCCTTATTCTCGATTCTAATCTTTCTAGTTCATATATGCTTACACGTTTCGGAAGCTTTTCAATGTTCGGAATTAAATTTAACACCATTGATTACAAATGGTGACGATAATTATTCAATTCTAACCAACAAACTTAAATCATCGAATATAATAAAAGTATCATTAATAGTTAAAGAAACTGTAAGTAGTACAACATGGTTTCTTATGGGTGCAAGTGATTATTCTAAATTAATTGGTTCATGGCAACCGTTCACGTCGGCTGATGGTCAAGTAATAGATTGTTCATTATTTTCAGAACAAGCAGTAACTAATCAAAAATCATTACTTGAAGACTCAAATCGATTAGAGTTTACATTTTATTGGATGGCTCCTCCTTCATTTGACGGCACTGTTATTTTTGTTGCGACTATTTTTAATAATAATATAACAAATGATACATCGTCATTACGACATATTCAAAGTGCATCTATCGAAATTGAGCAGACGCAAAGACGAGACCGATATCAAGACGTTAATAGAAGTAAATTATTTCATTTCAATTATTTATTTATAAAAAACTTTCTTTATTAAATAATTTTCCAGCTTTTTGTAATTCATCTCCATGTCTTAACGCTGGTAGATGTATTTATGATGATCAATATTCTTATTGTCAATGTGTTGCGCCATGGAATGGTGTATTTTGTAATCTTCGTACGTGGAAAAAATTCTCCCATCGATATATATCTTATATTTGTTGTTGATTTTTTCTCATAGAATATTTTCATATAATGTTTAGAAGTAATCTACCATTTAGTAGTGATTATTATTTTAATACACTTAATTCGCCATCTTATACTAATTTATCTAATGATCTATTTACTTGGTTGAATACTGCATTTAGTACACTTCCATCAGACAGAATATATTCAATTAATTTTGTGGCGTAAGTTTGTGTCATTATCATAATGAAAAATTATCGGAATTCATTTTTTAGTCCAAGTTCATCTGGCACATATATTTCAGTTAGTATGGCTGTAACACCAACAAGTGTATTATACACACCTGTTATTCTATCAGCACTAGCAACAGCATTAACTCGAAATAATACAACTCCATTTGGTCATCAATTATCAATCGATCCAACATATATAACAAATCCAGTGACACAAGATTCAACACCTTATACTTGTAAATAAACAAGAAATAGGTTTGATTGTTAAAAGAATGTCTTTTTTTTATTTCGTTTTTAGCTTGTGTATTTCCATTTGCACTTGCTTTGGTTGATTATAATTTTTGTATACCACTTTCTCCGAATTTTGTATGTTCAAAATCTCGTGTTATTGATAGAAATATCACATATGATAGTCTTGATTGTTCAAGAAACAGTTAGTTCTAATTTCTTTGTTAAAAATTTAATAATTGATTTTGAGTTTATTTTCCAAAGTTTTTGATTATGTTTCAAAAGATCCTTGTTTTCCAAATATATGTCTCAATGGCGGTACATGTATAACTGTTAACGGTGTAGCTACATGTAATTGTCCAGAATATTTTACTGGCAGTCGATGTGATCAATGTAAGTTTTGTGTTGCTTTATTATTTCAAAGTTCATGATACATTAGTCGTAATTTAAAGTATTTGGTTGTAATCTGATAACAAATCCTAAAGCAATTACTTGTACTAATGGAGCTACATGCAGAGATAATACGTGTATTTGTAGTTCAAATAATACAGTTGGTACATTATGTGAAATTAGTATGTTATTTAGGTTTGAAAATTATTTATTAATTGAATATTTTCTTATTTTAGTGTCAGGCAATACGGGATGTGCATTTCCATTTACATATATGAATGTAACATATACATCATGTGCTGTTATTAGTGGTCAATCACTATGTGTTGTAAGAAATTCTGGAACGAATGGACTATTTCCTATTTCACTTGCTGGTTGTGGAGGTTTGAATAAAATTTTAAAACGGAAAAATTCATTTCTAAATCTGATTGATATTTAGCTCCTCAATGTCAAAATAATCCATGTCGTAATCGTGGAACTTGTCAAGATACAGTCAGTGGATCGTTTCGTTGTATTAATTGCGCTACAGGATATAATGGTTATTTTTGTGAATTACGTAAGAAAATATTCGTTTGTTTTTTTCTTGAAATTAATTTTCTAATGTATATATATATATATATGTATATAGAATTTCAAACGGTTCAAATGGCTCTTAATATTACTTATACACCTGATTATCAAAATGCAAGTAGTAATGCATCACAACAATTACGAGCATTAATTAATCAAACGTTGAATACAGCATTTATAAATATAACTAATGGTGGTGTTCGATCAGATATTATTTCAATAACGTAAATTTTTAGTTAGAATACTTTTATAGAATTATTCATTTATTTATGTATTGTTCACAGTAAAAATAATGATGGAACAACAAGTGCTATTATCAATATAAATTCAAATTATTTGAATTTTCTTAATAATGCAACACAAACAGCATTAAATAATATTGGAGGAATAACAATTGTTCCAACGAATTCAAGTAAAAGATTTTATGAAATATTTTGAAGAATTTCACTGACTATTTTAGGTCGTGAATGTGCACCATGGTATATATATGGAGGACGAAATATTACAGGTTGTGTTACAAATCCATTTAACGTACCTATTTGTTCATTAACGGATAATTTTGATCGTGATGGACAGTTTGCAGCATGTTCAGGTTTAAAAACAAAAAATTATAATATACTTTATTAAGAAAAATAAATTTTATTTCTAGAACCAATTAATTTTAGTTTATGTAATAATATGTATTGTGGTGATGGTAGATGTGTTATAACTAGTCGTAATTTAACTTATTGTGAATGTCCAAATGGTATAACGGGTGAACATTGTGATCAACGTATGTAGAATTAAAATTATTAAAAAATCAAATATTTTTGTTTTGTTCTATTAATAGTTATTAAATGTAATGATATTAATTGTTTAAATAATGGTACATGTATTACATTATCAACGGGTTATTATCTTTGTGTATGTCCACCTGGTTATGGAGGAGTTTTTTGTCAATACAGTAAATTGAATCTATATGTTTTTTTTGTTTTAGTTTCCGTTTTTTTTTTAAATAACTTTTCTATAGATATAACTGATTGCGTATTTCCGTTTGTTGATAATCAAAATCGAACACATAACACATGCATAACTACAAGTGATTTTCTTGGAGGAACAGTACCATGGTGTAGAAATATTCTTGGTCAACCAAAAAGTTGTCAAAGTATGATCAAGATTATCTATCAAGATTTTATATTGATTAGTATATTTTTAGTTGATTATTGTGCAAAAAAACCATGTGTATATGGTACATGTACTCCAACAAGTCGATGGGCATTTGGTACTTCATATCCGTCATTTATATGTAATTGTACAATTGGTTTTACAGGAATTTTATGTACACATGGTATAGTGTTTTAAAAATATTTTAGAACGCATAAATAAATATATCACTATTAATTTTAGCTTATTTTCGATTAAAAACTCTTTATCTTGCGCCAAATATTTCGGACACAACATTGAATGCTTTAGAATCACCAACAACACAAACATATCAAAATATATCGAAAATGTTTCGAGAATTAGTTCGTAATAAAACGAATTCAAGTTTTGATTTTTTACCATTACTCTATACAACGTATATTTTATTATATGAAATAAATCTTAAAAGATTTTATTGTTTGATTTTTGTTTAGATTTCGAACCACTAATGGAAATTATTATCAAATATCTGCTGATCTTTCATATCCGGGTAATATAAGTCAAACTGATGTTGCAAACATAATTACACCAATACTAACAAGTCTTCCACCACAATTTAATGCTACATATATCGATAATGGTCTTTTAGAACCTGAAGAGATTCAACCATTGAATCGTGAGTAACTTATTATTATAATCTTCCTTTCTTATATTATTTATTGTTTTTAGCGGCACCTAATTGTACTTTACCATATATCTATAATGATGACCCATTAGCTGTATGTCATGTAGATAATAATGGACTTCCTTATTGTGCTTATGGACAAACTTATACATTAGTTGATCGAAAATTATGTGATGCTAGTGGATTACCAACAGCACAGTATACAGCATGTGATATATTAAATATAACAAATCCATGTAATAGTACATCTGACTTTCCAATTCGTTGTGTTGCTGCTGACGATGGTTGGAATTGTTTTTGTGAAGTTACACAAACATTAGGCAAAGATTGTGCAAATTTAGGTATAATAAAAATAAAATTTTCTTTTTCATTTTAATATTGAAAAAAAAATAATCTTTTTTTGTATAGATTTTTGTCGAAATAATTCATTATTATGTCGAAATAATGCAACATGTGTTAATCGACCTGATTTACGAGATTTTTCTTGTAATTGTACTGATCTATATTATGGTCGTTATTGTGAAAATTGTAAATATGCATAGATAATTTTCGTATTGATAGATTTTTGTTTTTATTAGTTGCTATTGGTTATAAACTTTTTCTACTTAATTACTCAAATGAAACATCACCAAGTATTCCAATATTAATATCAACTATTAATCAAACGATCATTAATATTACAAATGGATCTGTTATTGCTACTAATATTATCATCAGGTAATTGGAGAAAATAATAAGAAAAAGAAAAGATAATGTTTGTTCATGAAATTTGCCTGTTTTTTTTTTCCTTTATCCTAGTCCAACTGGTGAAGTTATAGTAATTGTATCAGGCAAAAATTATTCAATTCCACAATTTGAATTACCTTTGACTGATCTGGTTAATAAAAATTGGACAGTTGGTCCATACCTTGTTTCTTTCAATCGAACAAATGTTATCTCAATAGAAAGTTTGTAACATATAATATTTTTTATAAATTAAAACAAATAATCTTTATCTAGCTAATGCTACATGTATTTTTCCATTTGCTTATAATGGTGTTAATTATACAACATGTATAACAACTGGATATGGTTTTCCTTGGTGTAGTGCAACACCAGTTTTTACTGGTCGTATTATTGATTGTCGAAATAGTAAGTGTTATAGAAATTTAAATGTATTGATAAATTTTTATTGTTTAATTTATAGTCGATTGGTGCGCATCAGGCCCATGTTTGAATAATGGTACATGTAGAGTTAATCAAGAATTAGGTACATTTCAATGTAAATGTGCTGATGGATGGGTTGGTGTACAGTGTGCCTATCGTATGTGTTTACTTATTAGAATAACTATAGTAGTTCATTTGAAAAGTTTCTTTTTTTTCTTTATTGTCTTGTTTAGCTTATAAAACCATAACTATCGTTATTCCACTTGGAAATAATACATATAATAATTTGACATATATTGATATCAGTAAATTATTACCAAATACAACAAATGGTACACTTAATATTGATAATATTCGGTAGATGAATTGTTAAATAATTTTTTAGTTATTCGTAAAAAATGATTTTGTTTTTAGTCCTGGTCCAAATGATACAATTATAATAACAATAACTGTCAATGGTACTAATGTACCAAATATAACATGGCCAAATGTATTAAATATAACTATTGAACCAACGAAAAGTAAGAAAAGACATAGAGAATGATCCATTTTTGAGAACTATAATAAAAACTTGAAAATATCTCTGCGTCGCTTCGCTTAAAATGTCAAATAAGAAAAACAATACACGAAACTTTTTATAGATCATTTTCAGTTGTCATCGAACAGAATAAGAAGAAGAAATCAAAAAGAATTTTATCAATGATACTAGATTAATGCATACAGATCAATGTTCAATATTAGTCAATTTTGAATGCTGAAATTCGTGTGCTATAAGTAAAACGTAATCTTGGAACATTTCTTACAAAAACTAATATTCTCTGTTTGAAAATTGAAAATTTTATAATCGTTAACTTTCAAAATTAAATAACTCTGAAAAGTTGCTCTATGTGCATAAATATACAATAGTCAAGACGAGTCTCCGCTTCAGTCAATCTTGGCTACTGTATGTGCTGGAGGTCTGAACATTTTTCTGGACGTACTTCGCCAAGAATAGAGGTCATTGATATCGTGATCCATTGTTGCTTATTTACAAAGGAAGTTATGAGGAAGGACGCCCACTTTTGTTGTCAGCCTCGTAACCTTGAAAAAGAAGAATATTCTGCGTCAATTAACTCCTCAATATGGAAAGATATGCCCTAACTATGTGCATTAATAATTTTATTGAAACTCATCAATCCTTTCAAAGACTGCTCATTGTTGTGGAGAGTAATCATCTATTGCTTTTCGGACCTCAAAAACTCCATGAATCTCGCACTACAAAAGAATTTAAACATAGATGATAATTTTGTTAGTTCCATGAGTTCAGAGTCATTAGCGGTCAAGTAAGTAAATTTGTCTTTTGGATGAAGAAAGATCTGAAGCAGGAATTCAGGTTACATGTAAAAATATCAATAATTAGTCATTAATTTAGTTGAAAACAGCGCAAAAATTTCTCGGTAGTTTTCTTTAGGTTATAATACTTACAGCTGAAATTAGGTACCGTCCATCATATTTATCTTTGTAATAAAGCAAAAACAAAGCCACAATGTCATTGACGTACATTCTTGGTGAAATACGTGTACACAAATTCTCAGACCTCCAGCATGCACAGTGGCCGAGACCAGATGATGTGAAGAGTTTTCTATGAAACACTATACATATTTTTTTCTTACTTGATTGTTTTCATGATATCACTATTATACCAGTTAATAATAGTATTTACTTACCTTATTCGTATGAAAGAAAAAAAATTTGAGTAAACTTCTATCCTTAATAAAAAAATCAACGTATTCAATTAAACTAATGCAGAGATATCTCAATTTTTGTATTATAGTGCTATTTATGACGCAGCCTGTAAATGTAAAAATTAGATATTAATAAAGTAATATTTTAGATATCGATGGTTGCGTATTTCCATTCATATATCATAATAGAACTTTTGCTACATGTATACCACTTGGTATAGATCGTTTAACATATTGTTGTCGAAATCAAAATTGCGATCTGAATCCTCAATGGCAATTGTGTAATAATTCAAGTAAATAATTATTTCCATAATTCATAGTGTTTCTTTTTCTATTGAAAAAAAAAACAATTTCCTTTTTACTCTATTAGATCTTTGTGCTGCGTGCGCGCCTAGTGCAGGCTGTACAATGTCAGAATCTGGTGTTATTTCATGTTATTGTCCAGTTGGTTTTGGTGGAAATCTTTGTGAAACACGTTAGTCTTTGACTCTTAATTTCGTAAATATAAGTTTTTTTTTTAATTTAGCTATTGATTTATGTGCACGATTCAATCGTAGTTGTCTTAATAATGGTATTTGTGTTGTTAATTCAAGTACATCATTGGCTTATTGCAATTGTACTACACCAGGATTTACTGGAACTCAATGTGAAGTATGAAAAAAAAACAAGATTTAAAAAAAGAAATTTTTTTTTTGTTTTAAATTGATTATTTTGTTTCCTTTTTTAAAAGACTTTTCTTCCATGTTTATCTTCTCCATGTTTACATAATGGTACATGTACAGGAAATTTAAATGGAACAGTTCAATGTAATTGTACAAATTGTTACGGTGGCCCACTTTGTCAAAACATTGATTATTGTTGTTTAAATGTATGTTCACCAAATGGTGTATGTCTACCAGGAGTTAATAATTCATATGTATGTATATGTCAACCTAATTATGTTGGAGTTAATTGTAGCATATTTAATCCATGTGCTGTAATTCCATGTCAAAATAATGGTAAATTTTTTTTTTGTAAAAACAAAAAATAATATTTTTTAAGTTTTTCAAATTTATTTTAGGAATTTGTATAATTACAAATGGATCTAATTATGAATGTTTATGTCCAACAGGATGGACAGGTACTAATTGTGATGTACCAGTCAATCCATGTGCATCATTACCTTGTCGAAACAATGGACAATGTCTTTCATTTGGTGATCAATTTATTTGTATTTGTCCATTAGGATTTAATGGAACATATTGTGACATTGTAATAAGTCCATGTGCAAGCAATCCTTGTAAATAGTTTTGTTAATTTCTATTCGAAAACTTATTTTATTTCTTAGGTTTAAATAATGGTACATGTTATGAACAAATAACAAATTCTTCATTTAATGTAACTGGATCTTATCTTGGTTATGTTTGTATTTGTAATCAAACATTATATTCTGGTGTACGTTGTGAAAATATTATTCCACCATGTCCAATAAATCCAGCTATCCCATCGCCATGTCTCAACGGCGGTATATGCGTTCCAAGTGCTGATGGTCAAACATATAATTGTTTTTGTGCATATCCATATACTGGTATTAACTGTGATCAAATGATTGATCCATGTATACCGAATCCATGTGCACCAAATGGACAATGTTATTTAAATCTAGCTACGTCAAGCTTCACATGTGTTTGTATAAATTCAACATATACAGGTCCATTATGTCAAAATTTAACTAATCCATGTTTATCATCTCCATGTTTTAATGGTTCTACTTGTGTACAGAATGGAATAAGCCTTATTTGTGAATGTCCACCTAATCGTACAGGAATTTATTGTGAAAGTTTTTTACCACCATGTACAAATACAACTTGTTTCAATAATGGTACATGTCTTTATTCAAGTACATCAGTAACTTGTTTATGTCCACCATCATTTACTGGTCCTCAATGTCTTCAAACTATTGATCGATGTTTTCCATCACCATGTTTACACAATGGTACATGTTATATTTCATTATCGAATACAATATCTTGTTCATGTCCAACATTATGGACAGGAACTTTATGTGAAACATTAGTTAATCCATGTTTAACATATAATTGTTTCTTTGGTGGTACTTGTTTATTAGATAGTTCATATCAACCAACTTGTATATGTCCACCAACACAAACAGGTTTATATTGCTTAATAACAATTGATCCATGTTCAAGTGGACCTTGCTATAATAATGCTATATGTATTTCTAATTCGGCACAAACAAGTTATACATGTACATGTCCAGCTTTATATACGGGTAGTCGATGTGAATCTTTAATTAATTCATGTTTACCAAATCGTTGTATATTTGGCACATGTTATTCATTAAATAATGGAACATATTATTGTGCATGTACAGCTTACTATACAGGACTTATTTGTGATCATCCTATTGATCAATGTTCATTATTACCATGGTAAAATTTATTAAAAAAAAAAAACTTTTGACTTTTAATTCATCATTTATTTCTAGTGTCAATAATGGTACTTGTATAAGCCTTGGTACAAGTTATTCATGTTTATGTCCAACTGGTTATAGTGGTAGTTCATGTGAACAAATAATAAATCCATGTTTAAGTAATCCTTGTCGAACAGGTACATGTTATTCAACAGGAATTCGTTATGTTTGTGCATGTGATGCATCATATACTGGAGTTTTATGTGAAATACCATTAGATCCATGTTTATCATATCCATGTCTTAATAATCAAACATGTTTACGTAGTGGAACAAATTTAAGTTATACATGTCTTTGTGCATTACCATATACAGGTCAACGTTGTGAAATAACAATTTTACCATGTACAACAATGACTTGTTTAAATGGTGGTACATGTTTACAAATAACATTATCAACAAGTCAATGTTTATGTCCAATTGGTTATTCAGGTACATATTGTCAAATAGTTGTAAATCCTTGTCAATCACAACCTTGTTTTAATAATGGAATATGTTTATCAACAATAAATAATCAGTATATGTGTTATTGTTTACCAAATTATATAGGTACTTTTTGTGAACAATATAATCCATGTATGAATTTTACATGTTTAAATGGTGGTACTTGTGTTATATCACCATCGGCTATTGGTGGTCGAATTTGTATTTGTACACCAGCATATACTGGTCAAACATGTGCAATACCTATAAGTCCTTGTTCAAGTTCACCATGTGTTAATAATGGTGTTTGTGTAGCAGTACCAGGAACAACTAATTTTACATGTATTTGTACACCAGTATATACAGGAATATTTTGTGAAATATATATTAATCCATGTATAGATTATTTATGTGCTAATGGTGGTACTTGTTATCGAACTATTGATGGAACACCAGTATGTTCATGTTTACCAGATTTTACAGGAGTTCAGGTTTGAACATTTATTTTCTATGATATAATTATTTCAATTGTCTCTCTTTTTTTTTCCTTATTAGTGTTTGACACATATTGATCCTTGTCTATCAGCACCATGTCTTAACAATGGTTTATGTTCATCATTATTACCAATTTATAATTATACATGTATATGTCCATCAAATTATACTGGATATCGTTGTGAAAATTTTCTTGGTTCATGTTCATTAATAGTATGTCAAAATGGTGGTACTTGTGTTTATAATAGTTTAAATGCTATTTCATGTATATGTTCACCTTTATGGACAGGTACATTATGTACACAACGTATAGATCCATGTACAACATCAAATCCTTGTTTAAATTCTGGTATATGTATTGCAACATTTAATAGTACGAATCAAACAGTTGTTGCATGTCAATGTTTATCGACATTTACTGGTAGAAATTATATTTTCTTTTTTTTTTCCTGAAAATTTCTATTTTGAAAAATTTTTTTTTTGTTTTGTTCTAGGTCAATATTGTGAAACACAAATATCTCCATGTCAAACGTTACCATGTGTAAATGGTCAATGTTTATTACGTGCTGATGGTACTGCAATATGTTATTGTAATAGTCAATGGACAGGTGCAGCATGTGATATATTAATATCTCCATGTACATCACAGCCATGTCTTAATAATGGTGTTTGTTATTCAACTGGAATAAGTTATACATGTATGTGTTTACAAGGTTATTCTGGTTTACGATGTGAAATTGTTTCACCAACATTATGTACATTGATATGTTCAAATAATGGAACATGTGCAATACGTGGACAAGGTAATACACAAATATGTATTTGTTCAACAGGTTATACAGGTAGTCGATGTGAAATACAAATATCACCTTGTATGCCATCACCATGTTTAAATAATGGTATATGTTTACCATCAACATATGCTAATGGTACATTAAGTTTTCAATGTGTTTGTACAGGACCTTATACTGGTGAGTCATTTTTAATAATATCTCGGTATAGGATATGAACTACTTTCTCAATACATCTGTGAAAGATGAAGTAACATAATGATGAAGAAATATATTTTAAAAACGATAGAATAAAACACTTTGTCTAATTAGCAATAACAACTATATCGTGCTTCGTATTTTAATCTGGCAAGGATTTTGCTAACTACTTTTGAAATTTGTTAAAAAAACAAATAAACAAACAAAGACATTCATTTTAGGCCCCATATGTGCAACTTATATACCATTAGTATGTGGAAATTCAACGTGTTTAAATGGTGGTACATGTTTAGTTAATGGTAATCAGACAATATGTCTATGTCCAAATTTATTTACAGGAATTCATTGTGAATCTTTACTTAATCCATGTGATAGTAAGATGATCTATTTTATTACATGCATATTTTTTTGTGTTAATTTTATTTATAATTTAAGGTCATCCTTGTGTTAATGGTGGTACATGTTATACCACAGGTATTGGTCGTAAAAAACGTCAATTGACGACAGCAGTAGGATATTATTGTCAATGTCCAAGTTCATATACAGGTATTCGTTGTGAATCATATATTTCATTATGTGTATCAAATCCATGTCAACATAATGGTACATGTTATCAAGATTTAGCATTAAATACAATACGTTGTATATGTACACCAAATTATACTGGAACATTTTGTGATACAACAATGAATGGAACCAATATTTGTACAGCAAATCCTTCGATTTGTTTTAATGGAGGAACATGTCGAGTTAATTCATCTTTACCACTAGGTTTTTCATGTACATGTACAGCAACAACAACAGGTTATTATTGTGAACAACCAATTGATGAATGTCAAATGAATCCAACACGATGTCTTAATAATGGAACTTGTGTGAGTTTATTAATTAGTTGTTGTCGTTGTTGGTTTTTTTGTCTATTTATTGATTTGATCTTATGTTTTTTTTTGAATTCAGGTTGCATCTTTAACGGGTTACATATGTATTTGTCCTAATGGTTTTACTGGTACTAATTGTTCAATTGCAATAAATCCATGTAGTTCCCAACCATGTTTTCGTAACGGAACATGTCTTGTTATTGGTAGTCAATCGTATACATGTATATGTCCAACAGGTTATTTGGGTACTCGATGTGAAATATGCAATTGTCCATGTCAAATTTATCCATGTATATATTCAGTTATTGTTGTAAAGAATTATTTTTGAGTTCAACTTTTATTTAGGTGTTAATGGAGGTGTATGCCGATCAACTGCAAGTGGAGGTGTTGTATGTATATGTCCACCTGGTTATACTGGTCTTCGATGGTATGTTATAGAATTGATTTCAAATTTTTTTGTTATTTTTGTTTTTTATAAATTATTCATATTTAAGTGAAACTTCTTTACTTCCTTGTGATTCTAATCCATGTAAGTCTATTTTATTTTTATTATTAATATTAATATATATCTAAATAAATCTAGGTTTGAATGGAGGTGTATGTTTATATGATCCAACAACTTTAGTAATGACTTGTCAATGTTGTGGTCTTTCAACTGGAAGGTTTCTAAAAAATGATTTATTATTTTTGTTTTTGTCTTTTTGAATATACACATAAAAAATTTTTATTTAGATTTTGTGAAATTCTTCTCAATCCATGTAATACTTCAATTCCATATTGTTTTAATGGGGGTACTTGTGTTCTCAATACGAATATGAAACCAATGTGTGTTTGTCCAAATACTTTTACTGGTAAATTTATTTTATAATATTTAAAATAGAACAAATTCAAGCAAAAAATTTTTATCTATACTCTTCTTTTTGATTTGTCTAGGTCTCTATTGTGAAACGTATTCAAATCCATGTTCATTGGTAACTTGCATTCAAGGTACTTGTGTAATGTTAGCTAATTCGACATTTCTTTGTCTATGTCCAACCGGTCGTTCGGGTCGTTTTTGTGAAATAGTTGATCCATGTTTAATAACACCTGGAACTCTACCCCCATGTCGTAATTCTGGTACTTGTGTTCGTTTAAGTTCGACATCATATACATGTTTATGTCCAGTTGGTTTTACTGGTGCTTATTGTGATATAGCAAATCCATGTTCAAGTATGCCATGTGCAGCAAATGCTACATGTGCTACTTTAATAAATAGTAGTGCTATTTGTTTATGTCCAGCTGGTATGACAGGTACTCGTTGTGATCAAACATTACCTAGTTCATTTTGTTCATCATCTCCTTGTCGTCATAATGGTACGTGTATTGGAACAATATGTATATGTCCAAATAATACAAGGGGACCGACATGTAACGAAACTGTAAATCCATGTCCAACAAGTTCTCGACCAACATTGGTTTGTTTAAATAGTGGTACATGTATACCAGGTTATGGATGTTATTGTGACGTTGGATTTGCTGGTGACGATTGTGGTACACCAATATTTACTAGTTGTACAAGTTCAACTTGTTTAAATGGAGGTACATGTATACAATTATTTAATGGTACACTCGTATGTATGTGTCCAACTGGTTATACTGGTTTAAGATGTGAAATGTATACTACATTATGCATACCAAATCCATGTCAATCGAATGGTACTTGTATTCCAAGTGGTACAACTGGTTATGTATGTATATGTCCACCAAATTTTACAGGACCACAATGTAATCTTGTTACTAATCCTTGTCTTTATTTACCTTGTAAGTTTTCGAATAATTGATAAAGAAAACATGACTTTTCAAAAACCCAATCTATTTAGGTCTAAATAGTGGTACTTGCGTACCACTTCAAAATGGTGGTTATCAGTGTATTTGTTTACCAACATTTACTGGTACACAATGTCAAACAATTCTTAATCCTTGTTTATCAACACCATGTAATACAGGTACATGTGTTAGTATCAATAATGGTCTTGCTTATATTTGTAATTGTCCACCACAATTAACTGGTCCAACATGTCTAATAGCTAATCCATGTGGTTTTCAGCCATGTTTAAATGGTGGAACATGTGTATTATCAAGTGCTAGTACATATACATGTATATGTCCAATAAATTATTTAGGTACAAATTGTCAAACATATAATTTATGTTTATCAAATCCATGTTTGAATAATGGAACTTGTACAATGTTAACAACATCAGCCATATCATGTCTATGTACAACAGCATATTACGGTGATCGATGTCAAACATTAAATCCATGTCAAAATCCAATATGTATTCATGGTATTTGTCAAATAAATCCTGTTACATTAACAGCTCAATGTGCATGTTATGCTGGATGGACAGGTACTTATTGTGATGCATTAATTGCTTGTTATAGTAATCCTTGCATATATGGTACATGTGTACCATCAAGTACAGCTGGTTATATATGTAATTGTATAGCTGGTTATTATGGTCCGCAATGTCAATATCCAATAGTACAAACACCATGTGAAAGTAGACCATGTCGAAATAGTGGTACATGTCAAGTAGCTATGAATGGATATATTTGTTTATGTCCACCTTCTTATGTTGGTGTTAATTGTGAATATATTAATCCATGTTTATTAATTGGAGGATCTTCATCATGTCAACCTATATTAACTCCTTCAGGAAATTATACATGTTCATGTCCAACAGATCCAGTAAGTTTATTAGATATTTATTTGATTCAATAAATAAATAAAAATATATGTATGAATATTTAGTGTTCAAGTAATCCATGTCAATATGGAACTTGTATTGTGATCAATTCTGGTCTTGCATATCGTTGTATATGTTATCCAAATTATTTAGGTTTACAATGTAATCTACCAGATCCATGTGCTTTAAATATATGCTATAATGGTGGTAAATGTATAGCCACAGTCAACAGTGAAAGCACACAAGTTACTCTATCATGTCAATGTCCATCGTCTCAATATTTTATTGGTTCATTTTGTGAACATTATAATCCATGTATATCATCACCTTGTTTGAACGGTGCAACATGTACATCTTATGTAAATGTAACATGCTTCTATCGTTGTGTCTGTCCGATGGGTTATACAGGTGAACGATGTCAATATTCTATAGCACAAATTCGTTGTGAATCTGTAAATATACCAAATAATTGTCGTAATGGTGGTACTTGTATGTTAATTGGTATGAGCACACAATGTTTTTGTACATCAATGTATACAGGTACATTATGTGAAAATCTAGCCGATATGTGTAGTTTACGTGTATGTCAAAATGGTGGAACATGTTTCATTGTAAATGGTACAAATGTTAGATGTCAATGTTTACCATCATTTCAAGGTACATATTGTGAATATTCAACAGATCCATGTTCAGTTCAACCATGTCTTCATGGTGGACAATGTCTTGCATCATTTTTAACATTTACATGTAATTGTGCACAAACAATGTATACAGGACCAAGATGTGAAACATTAATTTCATCACCATGTGCAACAAATCCAGTAAAGATTGTTTTTTTTTCTCGTTGTTTTTCTCAATAAAATTTTTATTATTTCTGTTTACTTTAATAGTGTTTAAATGGTGGTACATGTCAAGTAGTTGGATCATCATATGTTTGTTTATGTCCAACAACTTTTACTGGTCTAACATGTGCACAATCAATAAATGTTTGTTCAACAGTTCAATGTCTTAATAGTGGTACATGTGTAGATTATGGTACATTTGCCTTATGTAACTGTTTAGTAAGTTACACCGGTGATCGTTGTCAATATGTTAATCAATGTTATCCAAGTTCACCATGTTTAAATGGTGGCACATGTGTATCTGTATTGAATAGATTTTCATGTCAATGTCCAACTGGTCTAACAGGTACAACATGTCAATTATTATCTGATAATCCATGTGCTGGTGGTGATTATCAATGTTTAAATGGTGGTACATGTATAATATTATCAGGTACATCACAAGCTAGTTGTTTATGTCCAATAAATTTTACTGGTGAAAAATGTGGACAAGGTTTGCCTAGAAATTTTATTATTAATTTCGATAAAGAATTATTTTATTTTAGTTGTATCATCTGTATCGATTACAACAACAACAACAACATTATCTTCATCGATTTTAACGATTATTTCTCAATCATCATCATCATCAATGATTATTGGAACAACATCATCGAATTATTTAAATATGACAAGTGCACCATATGCATGTGATGACATATCACTTGCTTGCCTTGCTTATAGTGCTTATTGTGCTCGTGAAATTGAATTTTCTGGTATTCCATGTCGAGTTCTTTGTCCAAGAACTTGTAATACTTGTAAGTTTAAAATTATAAATATATATATGTAGCTATATATTATTTATGTGTTTATTTTTTAGGTTGTGAAGATTTTTACACCGATGGTACATGTTCATTAGAAAATTGTCAACGTAATCCACATCTTCACCGTTATTGTCGAAAATCATGCATCTGCAAAACATGACTATAATCCTATATTTCTTATTTTTTTCGTTTTTTATTGAAACATATTTCTAAATCAGGAGCTTCTTTCTTTATTATCATATGACTAAGTGATTTAATCAAATAAAATATTTTATTCTATTTAAATATATCCTTTATTCTATGGTCAAAACGCAAGCATCTTAAGATGTGTCCTTTTCTTTGCTGATACTTGCGTATAGTGTCTTGCAATCCAATCGAATTATCTGCCGTCGAGTTCGGTCCGGAGTATGGATCCGCACGCAAACTTGTTGAGTCGCTGCGATTGTTGAAATGTAAAAACAATGTTGCATTGCGTTCGACTATGACTTAATACGTAAATCAAACAAGGTAATAAATGAGATGATTGAGCAATTAATTGTATTTCAGAACAGGTCCCAGAAGTGCAAAACAATATTGTTTTACTAAAAGAATTATATTTTTGATGAAAATTTATCTACAAATAATAATGAATCATATGACGAAACAACTGAATACATGGAGAGGAAAATGAATTATTAAAATAGGTGAACATGTATTATTGTGATGGGCAATATATTCAATATGTATTCACAATGACGATATTCGACACAACACTATGTTATTTTCCAGTTTCGTCTGCAACAAGTAAACATATATTTAGCACAATAGATCGAATTTTAGAAAGCAGGAAGATATCAAGTAAATCCTGTATCACGTGATGCATTTATGTCTATTGTGGAATTTGAAATAGTCTCTTTGTTTTATTGCTGTTTACGGATGCGACTAAATAGTATACTTTTTCATATAAAATAAAAATTTGATAATTGAATTGTGACAGTAAAAGTACCTGTAGAATGTCGATTAACTGAGAATGCTAAACATTGGTTCTCTAACTTCTCCACTTTCTCAACTGCAATACATCTGATAGAGTTGAAAATATTTTTACAGACACTAGACTCTGCTAGGAGCGCCTATGTTTTAAGGTTTTTCATTATCTCCTTCTATTCAAATAAAAAGATCTGAATCCTGAGCACACGCTCAAGAATACGTGTTTGTTTAACTTAAGATTTCTCTATCAATCCTGGCGAAAAAAAATTAGTAGTACATCATATTTTGAAATAAGAAAAATGTTGGTATCTTAAACACTTTCTAGTATAATTAGAAGGAAGTTTTAGTTCGATTGAATGTACTGTGAGAGCAAAACAAGAGTAATTGTTGACTTTTCTTTGCTAAAAATTTATTTTTCGAAAACAACGAAATAATACGTAAATATTGATGCTTTTCAATTTTTACAATTACATATTAAATTTTGTAATACATTCAATAGATGAAGAATATTTCAATGTAAATATAGAGCAAGGAAAAATAAGAATAAAAAGTCTAAAAATTGTTCGAAATCATCATTATTTATTTCAAACACAAAAAAGGAACGTTTTATGTTGACTAAAGTTTTTCAGAATATATTCTCATCAATAATAAATCTATTCACTTATCCCTCATTTGTTTTTCTTAATTAATCACAATCTAAAGACTGAATTATATTACAATTCATTGTGATTAAGACAAAGATATCTATAAGTGAAGAATGACTGTTATCAAATATTTTTGTTATTATATAAGAAAAATACAACACAGTTTGATTATGACCTTTTCTCTTAAAAAAAAATTTCATTCTATAAACAATATTTGTAGTTTCAAAACTAATGGGTACTTTTGTGTTTTTCTCATGATTTAGTCAGCTAGTGTTACACTATTCAGTATTATTTTTAAATAAACTATAATCAAAACAATAAACAATCGAAGAAATAACAGAATGAAAAAATAACGATCTGTCTTACATTGCAACACATGTAGAAGAAAAACATTAAAAGACAAAACGAAATTATGACAGAGTAAGAAGTTTATATTTCAATAATTCGAAATTTCTTTCGTTTATTTTCTTTAGACGTACTGTTCATTGTACATTTCATAATGTTTCATCTGATCTTGTTGATATAATATCATCATCCATTGGTATACGTACATTATCAAAACAAAATAATAATCAATTATCTTATTCATGTTCGCTTTTAAATGCTCGACAAATACGTTCGACTCTTGCAGATTCTCTTGGTCAATATCCACAAATTTGGTTTTCAATCGATTATTCAAATCAATTGAATAATTTCTCGTCAAAATTTGATAAAAATTTTTCTATGATCGATCATATTTTTTTTGGTTCATTATATTCAATTGAAAAATTTTTTGTTCATAATACACCTCTTAATGAAAGAAATCATTGGAAAATCAAAATTTATAATAAACAAACATTAATAATTGAATCTGATGAAGAAAATTCTACTATTCGTTTATCTATACCATTAAAATATTTACATAAAGAAATTCTTGTTATTGATGGTGAAAATTATTCTGAAATTATTTTTAGTTATAATTTAATAACAATCGATTTACGTACAAATAATAATAAAAAAATTGAAAAGTAATTCAAAAAAATTGATCATTTTATTAATTAGATAATTAATTTTTCTTTTTTCTCTATTTAGAATTTATGGTAATAATCCAATCGTTAAAACATTAAATCAGTGTACAAATTTTTTAATATGTTTATCACCAAAAATTGATGCTGATTTATTTCTTGATTGTCTTCAATTAAATTATAATTATAAAATTTTTTATACAACAATTGTTATACAAAATAGTATATATCAATGGTCAATAAATGATTTAAATTGGTATCAAACAAATAATACTCGTTATGCTATATCAATGTTACATTCATTAGGTTATGTATTTGATGATAAATATTTACATAATGATATACTTCAAAATCGTATGATTGAATTAGCTGAACAAGATGAAAATTATTTTTATCAAATATCAGTTAAAATTTTTTATGAACTTAAAAAATGTCATTGGTTAAATTTAATAGAATTTTTTAATAAAAATCATATTAAAATAATAAATGAACATAATCTACTTTATGTATCTCTTATTCATATAACTCCAACACGTCTTTTAATAATGCCAAAAGAAAAAACAAAAGGTCATCGTGCAATACGTTATTCAATATTTCAAGGTATTAATGATTTTTGTATTGTTTATTTAAAACCTGATCCACCAAATATATATTTCAATGATGATAATAATAATCATATGATAGAATATTTCAAACAAATTTTTCAAACAGGTATCGAATTTGCTGGAAATCGTTATTATTTATTTGGAGCATCAAATTCACAAATAAAAGACCATTCGTTTTGGTTTATAAAAGCCTCATCATTAAATGAAATTCATCAAAAACGACAATTATTAGGTCAATTTGATAAAATTTTAAACATAGGTACATATGTTGCTCGATTAGGTTTATGGTTTAGTAAAACTGATCCGACGGATGTAAGTATAGATAGCGAATAAATGAGCCTCTCACTATTCTCTGAATATCTTTACCATATCTTATCGTTTTGAAAATCACTTTCTTCTCAAAAATGAAATTTGAAAGTGTCTACCAAAGTCATTGGGAATCGTTACTTGAAACTATCAATGTCCGAGTCAGGTCGGGTTACGAAAAAATTCGTAGATTTTAGAGTGCATTTGTAGTGTGAACATTTTGTAGATACATGTATATGTACAATCTTTTCTTTCATTGCATCGACTTTTCTTTTATGTCTTCGAACAACAATGCATGGCGAGTATACTGTCTGTTCAATGTTGCTATCAAGGTCGCAAAGTGAATATATGAGAAAAAAAAGACAAACAAGAAAAATTTCTATCACATAATGGTGTTGTTTCAACTACGAGATATTAAGAATGAACAGCGGTCAAAGACATCTTTTCTTGTCACCTACGATATCAAACTAAGAAAAAAAATGATTGAGTGCTAAAATATAGCAAAACAATTGTTAAAGTGCACCTATCCCTCGTATACGACGTTAGTTCGAGCACGTTTATTTCGTTGTGTCTGGTATATAGCCCTTTGCAACCTTTTAGCAATTGTTTATTAGTTCAAAGAAATGTTATGTTGTGAATTCATGATAGAAAGTTATTAGCAAGAAATTTTCACATTAATACATTTCTTTGGTTTCTATTATTTTAACATACGGATTTCTAGATGACTTCATACTATATGCTTTAGAAAAAAAGTTATGTTCAAAACGATAAGATATAGCAAACATAATGAAAAAATACTGAGAGATACATTTATTTTATTGCATCCATTATTTTAGATTAAATTTAATTATTGTTCAAATGAAAATGAGTTTAATTATCGTGTTAAACATGGTGAAATATGTATTATGATGATTGCAGATATTGAAAGAAATAATTATTGTTTTACAGATGGCAATGGTCTAGTTTCGAAAGGTTTAGCAAAATTAATAAATGAAAAACTTAATGATAATCAACAAAAAAATGTAATCATTCCATCAGCTTATCAAATTCGTATAGCTGGTTGTAAAGGTCTTATTATAATTGATCCTCAATCAACATTTGATCAATTTTATATTAAAATTCGTCCATCAATGAAAAAATTTGAATCTAATGATTGGACTTTAGATATTTGCGGTTATAGTAGACCGAGTATGTGTCAGATAAAAAGATTTCTAATAGAATCATTTTTCTTGTTGGATTCTAGCACCAAGTCGACTTAATAATCAATTTATTTGGCTTTTATCAGATCTTGGAGTATCAGATAAAACATTTCTTCGACTTCAACAACGATGGTTTAGTAAGAAACCATCACGTTCCAATTATTCTGAGTTAATAAATTATATTTTGTTGTTTATAATAAGAATTTGTAATCAACCAAATGAAAAACAACAAAACTATATTCATCTTGTGATGATTGCCATTTTTCAGATGTTTGTCAATTAAATGAATTACAATTCTAAGAGACAAGATATATTCTAGAAAAATATATTATGGAAAATTAGACGGAAGCTCAGCTCTGTTTAAAAACGATGCCTATGTACTCTCTAGAAATATAACCAGAAAGTCTTTGCTCCTCTTCTAGACACATTGTCAGACGGTTCAATCTTCTGTACAACCTTCTTCTGGTTACGATACTAGAGTTAATCGATGACTTAACACGGTTTTTTAGTATTTACTATAGATTTCATCTAACAAAGTTTATCTTATTCCACTATGATGTGATTGGTTGATAAGTTTTGCAATAATACAAATGTTAAACCAGCTGTTTCTAGATGACATTTGCAAATGTATTTTTGAATGAAGCCGTTTCCTTAAAAGTTTTTTAATCAGAAAAATACAGACATTGAAATTTTGAATAAGATAATGTTTCAACAGATCGAAGATAAGTTCATGTCATAAATCATAACTTACGAGAAAACAAATCGAACTGGTACCCAGGGTTTAAGTTCATATTGGATTCACAAGAAGATCTCTATAAGACTAGAAAAATCCTAAGAAGGTTCATATTCAAGGATGTCTGGAACTGATGAACATGAACTCTTTTACGATTTTTCTAGTCTTGTCAAGATATCCTTGTGAACGAAACATGAGCTCAAACGATAGGTATCAGTTCGGATAGTTTCTTCGTTAGAGAATGCTATGAGAAGTAGAATTTTCCATAGGACATAAAGTCCTATTATTTTTCTTTAATATTGTATATCGAAATAATTTTCTTTTAGTAATTTATTAAAAAATAAAATCCCATTACCCGTTAATGAATGTCGATATATATATGGTTGTGCGTTAGAATCTCAACTTGAAGAAGGTCAATGTTTTATTCGTTATCAAATTTTAAATGAAAGTGGTAAATCATGTTCAAATCCAAAATTTGAATGTGTTCGAGGAAGAGTTATTGTTACAAAAAATCCTTGGTAAATTCTTTTTCCAATTTCATCCTTAATTATAATATAATTTAAAATTTTTAGTCCATATGCTGGAGATATGTTGGAATTATGGGCAGTTGATTTACCAGAATTATATCATTTAAATGATGTGATTGTTTTTTCAATTCGAGGTGAACGTATGTATGTTAATTGAATAAATCTTTTTTCATTTGATAAACGAAATTTTAGGACCTGATTTTAATAAAATTGCCGGATCTGATCTTGATGGGGATGGATATTTTGTAAGTTATTCTTTTAGACAGTTCTTTGTTTTTTCAATTAAATTTTATATATAAAAGGTCTATTGGGGACAAGAATTACGACTTAAATATCAAGTTAAACCACTTGATTATACACCAGATGCAAAACAATATCAATCGACACTTATTTCTCCTGAAGATGTTATTAATTATTGTCTTTCGACATTAACTATGACGAGTTCAGGTGAAATATATAATTTACATGCAATTATTATTGATAAAAATTATGAAAATTCTCAACAACGAACATGTCAACCATTAGCTATTGAATTAGCTCGAATGTTTTCATCATCTGGTTTATTTTATATTATTTTTTTTTTTAAATATAAAATTTTTAAAAAAACTTTGTTTTTATAGTCGATGCTGGTAAAACAGGTTATATTATTGATAAAAAACGTATTCAAAAAATTCGCGAAAAATATGGACAAAAATATCCCGATTTCTTAGGAAAAGATGAGAAAAAATCATATCCATCAGCATCTATTGTTGGTAAACTTTATCGTAATGCACTTAATTATATCAATGGAAAAACGGATAAACTTGAAGAAATTTTTGCTCAATTAAATATCAATGATGATGAACAAGAATTGTTACCGCATGATATTCCAGTAAGACGACCTAATTAGTTTTTCTTTTGATATTCTTAAATTTTAGCCAGCCAAAATTACAGTTGATCAGTCAGATATATCATGCACATCAATTGATAAATCAATACAATTACATCCAGGTTCTCCTTTATCACTTATTCAAAATTCAATTTCAATAAATGTAAGTTTATTGTGAAAGAAGATAAATATTTACAGAAAATCCTCTCCACAATAATTACTTACATATTCTGAACAGTGGGTGTTTATTTCTGATTTCTTAACCAAAAGTAATCTCTGTAATATGAGTAACACATATTCTATTACTCCTGTGCAAAGCGAGAAAAAAATTGATGTTATGTGTATTTCGTTATCATAAACAGTTATGAAACACAAATAAAAAAGAGATGGACTAGCCTTGGATATTTATATCAAATCGTGTCGACACAAATTGATTTATATCTGATTAAAAAGAATTAAATTAATTAATTGTTTCACAGAAGATAAGGTCATCTTTTACAGCTAACAAGCTATTACCAATAAATACTTATAAGTTGCAAAAAGAAAACTCAAATATTTTCCAATAATGAATATTTGTAACCGACCCCGATTGTCCACACCCTAGAGAGACTTTACCGTAGTTCGAATGTAAAAAAAAATTGGAACATAGTGAGATCTGTGTTAGGAATTTCTTTTTATTTGAAAGAATGTATTAAGATGATGAATGAATGTAACTAGAAATCCGATAGATACTTACTGAATTTATTTTACGAAAAGTTTCGAACTAACATTACATAAATAAAAAGAATTGATTATGATAAAATGATCAATGACAACCTGTTATCCAACTATCGAAATTTTGTAAATGAAATTGAATGATCCTGTGTTATCAATCGAAGAAATTATGTAAGAAAAATAGCATCAATACTATACTATTTCAGCATGTGACATGTCCTAGAGATGATAGTATTCTATATTCCCAAATATTTTCAGCATTCATTTCACATTATTATTGTTTCTCAATAAAGTGTAGATGGTAAGTTCTATTGACGAGAACCTTTTCCCTCACTCTGGATATTCTCTACTATCAGTTAGACCAATTGAGCGAGAGACGTACAAAGGCAACAGTAGGTATTATAACAGTAACCTAGAAAATACTATTATTGAAATGCATATGTTGTCATTCTGTAGACTCACGCATCCCATTCACTGATTGTTTTGATCATAGATCAATGTGTTTGATTTCTGAAAGCAAAGTATTAAATATGGATGAAATGTGCGTATCGTGTAGAAGTACTGGAGAAGAGATAATAAAAAACCACAAGAAATATTCAGTAATATAAAGCAATTTATTTCTTTATTCACTATTTTGTCTGAAAATATTTTATATGATAATTATTTAAGAAACATTTTATCTATTGATATTATTCTTTTTAACTATTAGAAGACAGTATAACATTTGTTAGTGAAGAATAATTGTCAATTATTTATTTTGCATATTATTCAATAAGCATTTGTTTTTATATTCATTTAGAACGAGAATTCATTGATAGTTTATGATAAAATTCCAGATCAAATTTTTCTAATTGATGGTATGATATCATCATCTTCATCTATACAATTATGTTCATCAACAAAACCTTTTTATTCTGAACATAATGATTTAATTCGTCTTCGTATCGAACTTGATCTTTCATCGAATGAAAATTTAAAACTATGTTTACCATCTTTATCTTCTCTTTTCTTTGAACAATTTTCTTCTTTACAATATTCATTAAATGATAATGAATTATCAAAAATAATTATATCATTTGGATATATATATTTATTACAATATAAAGAACAATTATTAACTCTTGAACAATATCCAAAAACATTAGATTCTTTATTAAATAATCATTTTTTACCTCCATTATTTAATACATTTTTTCCATCGACAATTCTTGAACGAATTGAAATAACTAAAGATAATTCTCATTGTTTACAACAAATATTTTATAAATCTAATCATACAATTAAACAAGAAGTAAAATATTTATTATAAAAAAAAAAAAAAAATTATTTCATTATATCTATATTTATATTTTATTTTTAGTACATTGAATCAACTTCAAATTCTTTGTGTTTAGTATTTCCATGGTTTAAAATGAATTTTATTGATCATCAACGTGAAATAATTCTTATTTGTCTAAATATTCATACAAATAATGAAATTCGTATACATTTTGATAAAAATGGTCGAATAAAATCTATTGATAATTTACCAAAAATTTTCTTTAAATGTTTTCATCAACAAACTTCATCTTATCGTCCAGATATTCTTTATGAATTTCGTTCATATACAACAATAAATCATCAAAATTATTCATTAATATTTAAAAATGAATTATTACTTGATCCAACACATCCATTAACACTTCCGTTACAAGAATATATTATTCCTATTATTTCATATAGTATTATAACAAATATATTTCAATATAATGATATTGAAATACATATTATACGAATATATTCACCTATTCATTATAAAAATGATGATTTTTATAAACTTCGATGTATACTAGGTTATATTGAACAAATTGAACAACAACATTCTATTGAAATACATGTCCATATGAATAGAAATGAAAAATTAAATCGAGAAAAATTACGTTATATTATGGCTTTGGCTACAGAACTTAGTCAAATGTTAGATTGATTGAAATTTTATTTTCTTTTTCTTTTTGTATTGAACAGTTTTGTCTTTGTATAGGATTACTCATTTATTTTTTCTCTTTTGTACAACGTTATCTGATTGAAAATAAATAATTTCTTATTAACAAATTTTTCTTTGATGTTTGTTTTTTTATACTAAACATGTGAATGCATTTGAATTTATTAATAAGGAATATGAAAACTTAGTCAATATGATTGCAATAATCCGACTAATCTTTTAATAGTATATAATATATATTCTAAGCCGAGCTTTATTCTCAAGATACTTCAAGTATTCTTTAATAGTCTTACCAGATCTTCAAAAAATAATTTAAATGCATTGAAAACAAAGATTTAACTTAAAATTTCTTTATTTTACATGTTTATCTCTTTATATTATTTAACTTTTGTTACTATTCGTTTAAATATTATTGAACATTCATACACAATCGATTCTTTGAGCTGCTTCAGAAAAAGAATAAGAAACAATGTTTAATAAAAAATAAATAATGCAATTATTCAAACTTTAAAATGATTAATGAAATCTTATGATTGTCTTTTTCAGATAAGAAGAAACTCTCTATGTGTATATTAACACGAGAACGTTCTCAATTATCAAATTATTTTTTTTCTTGAAATTCTTGCCATTCAATCGATCGTTACGTGTAGTGAAAAAAAGTCAATTTTGTTTTGGTGTCTCAGTCTTCACTTGTTGAATTATGATTGTTGGACTCGATTGTTGCTCGATAAGCATAGAAATACTAAGAACTTGAATGATCGATTTTCGAGGTGAATCTTTGTTGAGCAGGTTAGCCTTATAGTTAATTCGAACACCTGAAAGAGTTCAAACTCTGATTTTTTTTTAAAGATTATAAAACTGATCTATTGATAAAACTTTAACTTGAATTTCGATCATTTAGTTTTTCAGGGATTCCATGCTCATAAAACAAAACTTGTGTAGATCACTCATAACCTAACAAGCGAAGATCAAAACAAAAACAGACTTTTTTTATCAATCATCAAGATCTATCGAATGACAAAAGTTTCAAGCCTAAAGCGATTTGACACTTGCGAACATTTCTTGGTAAACATCATTAAATAAACAATTATGATAAATCAATCGATTCATGCTATTCTTATTAGTATACTAAAATACTGACACAACTTTTTGACGATTAACATATTTATAGTCACATGAACAGATTACTATTGCTGCCTTTTAAAATAGTTTTATCTATAATCCCTAGTGTAGACAATATTTCTAATACAATCATACTCTTGAATCATTTTTCAATAACTGAATACCTATTCCATCAAAGATCAACCATTTCTCAATCAATTCGATGTCAAATGCAAAATACAATCAATTTAATGATCAGTTTTTTCGTTTGCAAAAAAAAAAAAGTAAAAGAAGATATAATGAAAAAGTGTACGTTTGATTACAAAATAAATCTATTTTTCAATCATTTATGTTGTTGCATTAGTTGTTACTTCTCCTTCAGTTACTGCTCCACTTTCAGCAGCTGCTTTTTCATCCTCCTACAAAAAAAAAAAGAAACAGATGAAATTATACACTGAAAATAAAAACTAACCGCAATAACTTTTCGATCTCGTTTTCGTTTTTCTTCTTCAATTATTTTCCAAAAATCTTTTTCAGCTTTTTCAATTGGATCAGCTTCTTTCAATTCTGAATCACCTGCTCCACCTTCAGTTGTTGGTTTTTCACCTTTCTTTTAAATAATAAGACAAGATCATAGAAAAAAAAAAAGAAAAAGCAAAATTTAGGTAATCTTACTTCGCCTTGGGCTGATTTTGTTCGTGCATCACGTTTAGCTCTTCCACGTGCTTCAAGAATTTTCGCACGTCTTGTTTCACGATCAAACATCTAATTTATTGAATTATAACTGAAAACATTTAATTTATATTGTATAAAACTTACTCCAGTAACTAAAGCCTTTTCACTTTTTCCTTGTATGCATAAATTATCAGATACTTCAATTAATGTTACTGTACCATTTTGTGATCCACATGCAATAAGACGACCTTGTGATTCTTGTACACGTAAACAATGAAGTGGTTCATCAACAACTTGAAGTGATAAAGTTGGTTCATTTTGTTTAAATAATATATCCCAAACATCCAATGTACCTTAATGAAATAGAAATCATTTTTTTTTTAATGTCAAAATGAAATATTATTCTTTGTTATTTTTTTTTCTTTTACCATCCATTTTAGTTGTATAGAAAATAGATGATCGTATTGGTGACCATTGAGCATCAGTAATTGCATGCATACTTGGTCTAGAAAAATTAATAAGATAATTCATTATTACATTAAAAAATATTCTTATTTCAGTTACTTTGTCCACATAATACAATCATCTCGTAATTCTTCTGACCAAATACGTACTGTCCAATCTCCAACTGATAAAAAGTTTTTGGTAAAATTAGGATGACGTTGAAGTGCATAGACTGGACCCCAATGTCCTGGAAACACGCTACCAATTTTTTCGGCATCATTTTTTCCTTTACGATTACATGATACAATACGACCTTGTTCTGTACCAACCATAAATTTTGTTGGCTATGAAAATCAAATTTTATATTGAAATTTGACGAAACAAATGAAACTCACCATAGTTGGTTCATATTCAAGTGACATAGCACCAAGAGCATTTTCTAATCGACCTTTCTTTTCAATATCTAATATTAGAGTTTCAACTGGTTCAGATAATTTTCTAGTATCCCACCAAAGAACCTAAATAGATAATTATTCATTTAAAAGGTCTGTTTTTTTTTACGAAAAAATAAAATATATAATATCACTTTTCCATCAGTGGAAGCCGAAAAAAATTCGGTACCAGACTTTGATTGTAACCAAATGACTTTATAAGCTGGATCACGATGACTATTTTCAATGAGTGATTGTTCAACAGCTGTACTACCTTTTCGTGTATCAAATATGCCTATTCAAAAAAACAAGATAGATATCTACCTAATCTACTTCGAATAAGTCAAACTTACAAACTTGACCATTATAACAACCACCAGCAAGTTGATGTGTATCTTTTGGATTAAATTCAATACAAACAAGTGGAGATATTGGTTTGAGATAAAGATCAGGTTTAGTCGGATTTTCTAATAGAAATTTGAAAACGAATATAAAAATAGTTATAAAGAAAGAATTAAATAAATACCAATATCCCAAATATATGAATCAATAAAAGAATCACTGGTTGCTGATTGAAATTCCAGATTACAATATGAAACAGCTATTTTTCGTGGACCATCAGCATACCATGAAATATGATTAGCTGTACGTGGAGTACTATGAGGATCACTAAAATTTGAATTCTTATATGAAACGAAGAATCAAGAAATGCAATTAATTATACCGATAGATATTTATAGTTTTAGCATAAGGTGCTTCTTCAACAACATCTGGTTCTAAATGTTGGAAATAATTTTCATAAATATCAATAGCATTATTTTGTTTTATTGTATGTTCAATAGACTAAAAAGAAAACAATCAATGGACTTTTTGTTCTTTGAATGAAAAAAAATAAAGAAATTTATACATGTCCTAGTGATAGAATAGCACGACCATAACCATCTTCTTTTTCAGTTTTTTTTCGAAAACGTGATGTTTGATCAGGTTCAAGTGGATTAACATCTTTGGGCCAACCACCTTCAACATGATTAATTCCTCGATTTTCTGTTTCAAATCGAACTGTATTTACCTGAAATTTTTTTTGTAGATTTTCTTGTAAAAAGAAAAACAAGAAAGTTTATTTTACAAAATTCATACCCAATGTTCAGAAAATTCACGGACATTTTGTACTCCTATGTCAACCGGATTACGAGCAACATATTCATGAATTAACTCAGGATTTGGTTGAATATCAGCAACTACTTCAACTGGTCGATCAGTAAAATGAACTTGTCGACCAAATTCCGAACGTTTTTTTGTATAAACGTATTGAATATCCATTTATGGTGTTAAAGTATTAGAAGGATTTGTTAGAATAACTATCGATAACCATCAACATCAATTTTACATCAAATTTAACTAAGCAACAGCCTCTCTTTAGAAACG